TACATATATACTGTAATAAATATTAAAAGCCTCTTTATCATATGTTCATTTTAAGATTGCTAGGAGACCTCTCACCTTAGTACTAAAAAGAAATGCAAACAGTGAAAATCCATATGCAGAAAGAAGACGGAGAAACTGGTCCCAGCCTGAGCAAATTTCATCGACCATCCTGCACCGTATTAGCTTGAAAGTTTCTTTAGATCTCTGTTAGTCCATTTGTTTAAGGATGATAAGATGTTAGTCTTCCAATCCACAGGAGCTGGTACACATTCCTGTGCAGTTTGGACGTAGAGTTTGCACCTTGATCTTTCAGTATTTCCTGTTGTAAAACTCACACTTAAAAAAACTGAGTGAGTCAAAAAGCAAAGTCCAGCCCTTTATTGGTTTATTAAAGAACATTTCCCGATATTTTATTGGATATTTGATTTTAACTAACATGACTACCAGACTTATTTACAAATTTGGAACAGACACAAGATAAAAAAGAACCATTTCAGCGAGCTATGTAATAAACAGAAGTGCTTCTGTGTTGGTGTTAGTCTCTGATCCTGGGACTTTGCTAAAGTAAGAAAAAATGTTGGACAATCCAGATGACCAGTCAATGTTCATTTCTGCAAATCACATTTTTTAGTAGACATCTAAACTGAGATGGACACAAGCATCTCTCCTATACCTCTATCTGTCGTCCACTTCCTGTTTTCCCCACGAGTTTATGAATGAAAGCGTTTTTTTCATAAGTAAGGTCACTTACCGTTTTCTTACAATTCCATTTCATATTCTTCATCTTATGTAGTTATACATTCAATATCCACATAAAGAGACCAAAATTATTATGATAACTTAACATGGATGCATACCCAAAATCAGCTTTTCCAGTACATGATGGATTCAAATGGACAGTCATTCATCTATTTAATTTCAGCGTCTAACAGTCCTCCCAAAGAAGCAGGGCAAACATTTACAACAGAATTATCCCTGACTATATGTCCTACTAAACCCAAACCAGACCATCTTTCATGGTGAGAAAATCAGCCCTTGTAATGTTTTTGTGCACAATGTCTTGCAGTGTCCATTGCTAAACACATTACAAAGAAAATTACGGGTTGCCTCGTTGCTATCACTCGTTGCTATTTTTCTCAGTCTGACAGGTGTGTTGGACAACCAGCAGTGTTAATTGCTTTACTATCAAACTTCTAACATGCTATGCATGTTTTTTTATCTTCTTTTTGGGTCCATTTTATGTCAAAGACCAATGATTATAAGACTGTTGTGCAGTTTAACTGTAGAGGTATAAATCAGAACCATTAACCATATGTTTAATGTTTTATATCGGGATAATCTTAAAAAAAAAAAAAAAAAGGAGACTCAAACTCTGCATTAAGTGTAGGGGTCCCCAGTGTAAAGATCTCCATATAAACGCACCATCCTAACAATAGTGCTGAGGTAGGACAACTGTTTAACGCAGACATTCCTGTGAACCTGTGTACGCATGAGCACATCTATATCTGTACAAAGACGCTCTTCTCTGGCTAATCAGACACGCTGACTTCAGACATGAACTTTAACTCATCTGTCTGGGGGTGAAGGAGCCTCCTTCTCTGGGACATGGCATATAGAGTTAGGGGAAATACCTCTGACGCTGACCCCACCACACCCTATAGCACGCTGTACCACAGAGCCACATCAATGCAGAGCAGCACAAAGAAGCCATTCTATGTTTCACATTTTCATAGTGAACCTCCAGTTTTTCACAAACCAGCTGATTAACTTATATTAACAGACTTAATATATTTGAATTCCTAAAACAAAAAAAAACAAAAAAACAAGATTCTTAAACTGTTACATGGTTAAAGACCTAAGTGCTTAACCCTATCTAGCTCTAGTGACCCGGTTACGGCTGTTACCAAACTACTAAACTTAAATAAGTCGTCATCTGAGATTGTTGTCCATCCCATTGGATGAAGAGTATAGCCATCCAAGCAAAAGTAGCACAATACGCCCAAATTTTAATGCATGGATTTCTGAGACCAATTGCATCATCATACAGTCAAAACTATTAAAACCAACTCTTACCTAGAGTATAGATTTTTTGAGTGATTTTTAGTTTAAAGTAAAAAAAATGTGCGAAAAATATTGATTAAATCTTATCTAAAAACACATACAGTCATTTAATTTATTTGTTTGAGTTTACATTTTGTTTAAGATCTGAACAAAGAGGTATTATTTTGATTCCATTCCTTTTCTTGGGTCAGGCATGATATAGGTTAGGTAGAATTTGTTTGCAGTGTGTTGAGTAAGACAGAAGCTGTCAAAGCACCAGTGACCTTGTCTGAAAAGTTGTTTATCTGTTACAGAATATTTCAGAGGTCACCATTTATCTTTTATTCTTGAAGATAACTGTCCATGTTTAACTTGGGAAGTCTGGTGTACTTTTCACGTGTCCATACATTTCTGACTCTAGCGTTCAGATTTTTGTCCCATGCCATGTTGTATGTTCATCCAGCATTACTCACAATCAGTTTGCCTTCCAAAACAAAAAATGGATTATTAGTTTTAGAACAGGCCCTTTAATAACATCTTATGTGAATGGTTTAGTGCTGCATGAAAATGATTTTCTGATATCACCCTTTGTAAGCTTCATTCATTACAGTCAAGGATGCTGTCAAGTGTGTGTATCCATTTTTTGTAATCAGCTGTAGTTTCCATGATCGCCATTGTGAAACAGAATCTTACTTTTTGTTCAATTATCAACATATCACTGTTATACAAATTGTGTGTGGGTTTTCTTGTGGCTGCAATGTCAATCTAATTTGGTTGTCTTTTGTTTTTAACCTTAATTTCGAGGACATTACTTTAATACGTATTCAGCTAAGGACACGCTAATGCAGAGGTTTCTGAAACTGGATATTTCGTTCCTGCGTTTACCCTTAAAAAATGCTGTCTGCGTGGCTTTTATTTAAAAAAAATCTCCATCTATTTTAAAGAATCACAACTGTTCGATGAAGCGTTCTTTTGGCGAGTGACACCATTCGAATGTACTGACATGTAGCAGGTCATGTTCCTGAAAGTGGAAAGTTAAGAACAGCTCAACTTTTTCAACTAACAGCATAGGCACCAAGCAAGCAAATCGCCTTACTAATCATGTGTCTGATCTTATGATGCAGCGTTGCCTTAATTCCAAGCATCAAACCTGCCCAGAGTTAAAGCCTCATGCCTGTGCATGTGCCTATTAATATAACGCCAAAGCAGCTCAGTCAGATTCAAGAAATGCCCAAATTCTCTCACCATTCTTCAGCAAAGAAAACAAAACACCTTGTGGTTTCTTATTCAAATGTTTTAATTTGATTACTTCATAACAGAGACTAACTACTCAAAGCAGGTCGGCATGGTTGATAGACATTTCTGGATTACATGTCTCCTCTTCACTGTTTTAATCACCCTAACCAGTCCTGCAGTCTAGACACCACAGGGCAGCAGCAGGACTGTAAAAGAAAGCAATGAATCAGCTGCCTCTGCAGGTTATGTGCAGGTTGCTGTCGCGGCAAATAATTATTCAGAAAAAATGGCATGTTTTTCAAAAATGATCTGTAATGGACGGCTGTACTTAGTTGAAGCTGTCAAGTCATATTTCTTCTTCCTTTATTTTGTGTACTTTTATATACATTCCTTCTGCATTGCAGCATTTGGCTTTGATTGTTATGTTTATAACGTATGATTTAACGTGTTTAAGGTCTGATGTTGGGGGTGGGAGTGGAGGGGTCGGACAGGTAGATTGAAGCATGACTATTCAGTCCTAAATTTTCAATTTTAGAGGGTTTCCACAGAAACATCACAGCACAACGAGATACCGTATAAAGGAGAAGGAGAGCATGCAAAAGTTATTTTATGATCACAAGCCGACTCTAATATAGCATTTTAGAATGATACAGAAATTAAAGGACCCTCAGCTAGTTTGACCTGGTCTTACCTTTTACCTTAACTCAAATAAAGTGTCACCCCCAATCCCGTTTTGGATTTCACTTTCTTTGAAAATGTCAGCTTTCTCTGAGGGTTCAAGTCGGTCGTCTTAAAATATCACAGGAAAATTGACAGCTGGTGTTAGTCTAGTGTTTGATGTATATCAGTATCAATGTCATGTGTTGTATTTGTGTCATTTGATTAAAAAGAAAAGAAATTGAATGTCTTGTAAGCCTTTAACTTGTTGGAGGCAATTAAAATGTACGTGTATAACTCGAGTTGTATATTAACTGCAGCAAACACATCCCAGTTCTCCAACTAAATCGTCTCCATGCCTTTAACTAGCAGTCAATCCTCTGTGTTTCTCTGAAATAAGATTTCTAGCTAAAGCCTACAGTTAATGAAACATCAAATGTCAGAGCAGATTCTGGGTAGCCTGCAGCTTTAGGGCTCTTACCTCACACATATTGCGCTTTGGACGAAATCCAGTTCAAACAGAATCAGGTCAGGATTTTCTCTCTCGCTCCAAAAAAACCACCAAGTCAGCAAAAGAAGCGATCATTGCTGGATAAACAAAGCACAATCAGGTCTGGTTAAGACAGAGTGCAGCTATCTTTTAATATCTTAATTCACTTGTGTTTTAAACACAGATTTTTGTGTATGTCACTTTTAGCTATTAGAGCAACTGTCTGTTTAAAGTTCTTTGCTTTCCTGTCTGGAAGATGAAGCAGAAAGGGTTCCAATCCCAAACAGAGCAGATTCCTCCCTTTGAGAAGAATGAGACCCCTAGTAACAATGACCTTGGAGGGGATCGTCCAAAAATTGTCAATTGATAGGATTATTGGTGAGCAAAGTGCTTCTTGGAGGAGATAAAGATAAGCTTGAGTACACAAACCAGCCATGTCTTATTTATCTAAGGATTTCCACGTGTGCTGTCTTTGGGATGGTCTCTGCTCAGCCCTCTGATTGGACACACCCTCTTCCAGGCTCACGCCTTCATAGTTCCATCCCGACGGGGCGGGACCCGGCGAGCCTTTACACCCATGATTGGCCCGAAACAAGAAAATGTGCAGCTTTTTCTGCAAGGGTTCGATGAACAGGTCCCGCATTATAAAAAGAGCCTCCTGCCGGGAAAACAAAATGAGCCACGGCATCCGAGGGTTTCGCGTTCGGACAGCGCTTGGTGATATTTGCGAGAAGGATGCTGCAGCAAGCTCTTCGCGTAACCGGCCGGAGTGCCTTCCCCCTGGTCAAGTGGATGGACAGATGGGCCGAGGGCGCAGCGGCTGGCCCGGTGGCCGGCCAGGAGAAGGCGGTGCGGACCCTGGATGACATGCCCGGGCCGTCGCTGCCCAGCTTCGTCTGGGACCTGTTTGCCAGGGGGGGGCTGTCCCGGCTGCACGAGATGCAGGTGAGGAAACGCAAACGTTATGTAAGGTGCAAAACGCAGGCTCACGTAGGCTACGTTTTTTGCATCTGAAATGGACACGGGTCAAGACAAGATTTTGCTCAAAGTTAAAAAAAAAAAAGCATTTAGGTCCCTACAGAAATTCGTGTAATAAATTAATAAAGACGCTCCTTTGAATTGGTCAGATCACCAGATCACTGTGTGAGCATCACATTTTAGTAATTTTAGTCCGTAATTATGAGTCAGTTTCATCACAACACCTTCTGGAAATCGTCTTTTGAGCGTCAAACGTGGAGCAGAATGCATGCACTAACGGTAACAGTCACCTGACAGCTGCAGGGCTTTTACACATCTCTGCCTCATGCCCCAGGTGGAAGGAGTGAACCGTTACGGCCCCATGTGGAAGGCAAGCTTTGGCCCCATCCTGACCGTTCATGTGGCTGATCCGGCCCTCATCGAGCAGGTCCTGAGGCAGGAGGGCCACCACCCCATGCGCTCCGACCTGTCCTCCTGGAAAGACTACAGGGCGCTCCGAGGACATCACTGTGGGCTTCTGACATCGTGAGTAGTGCACCTTCTAAACTCTTTTGCCAGTTTAGTGTGTGACATCTTTAACACCAGAGGTAAAAGGCAATGAACCATCAGTGATAATCCTCTCATTCATCTCAATGGATTAAGTCACACATAGATGAGGATTCCTTAATATGGAAAAATAGGAATGCCAGGTTTACAACATGAGCCTTTGAAAGATTTATTCTCTTACTATACCTTGTTTTGAATCTTAATATTTTTTTGACGTGATCCAAAGCTAAGACTTTACCCTATGTGTGTGTGTGTGTGTTTGTGTGTGTCTAGTGAAGGGGAAGAGTGGCAGGCAGTGAGGAGTCTCCTGGGGAAGCACATGCTCCGGCCGAAGGCAGTGGAAGCTTACGATAAAACCCTGAACAATGTTGTCGGTGACCTCATTGCCAAACTTCGCCACTGCCGACGTCCACAAGGCCTTGTTACTGACATCGCCAGCGAGTTCTATCGCTTCGGCCTTGAGGGTAAGGGTCTCGTGTAGTCTTAGGAGCAGTTACGAGGTGTAACGCACCATGTAAACATTGGTAATAAGGCCAGGAAAACTATGCCATTTGACCGACGTGTAAACACTCTTTGACCGGCTGCTGCAGTGACAGATGAAATAGTCATTATGGTTTAATTTAATTAAGGATTAACTGGGGTTTCACTCATCTTCTATTCTTTATGTTCCCTCTGTGTTGTGTTTTTTCGAACAGGGATTTCTTCAGTGTTGTTTGAAACCAGAATCGGTTGTCTGGATCCTGTTGTTCCCGAGGAGACGGAGCGTTTCATCAAGTCGATCAACACCATGTTCGTGATGACGCTGCTCACCATGGCCATGCCCAGCTGGCTGCACCAGCTGTTTCCCAAACCCTGGAACGTCTTCTGTCAGTGTTGGGACTACATGTTTGACTTTGGTAGGTTTTTGTTTAAGACTGACTTCTTTGTAACTGTGTAAACAATGTTTTTTCATTTTTTTTCAATTGAAACCTTAATGAGGTTCTAAGAAAACCAGTCAAAAGCCACAAAGTTTTTTAAAAAGTACTGTTAAATCCTTAAGAATTCACTATAGGTACACAAAACAAAGCTTAAGGGCAGACATGATGATCTCAAATCCTTCCTCCGTGTTCCTATTTTCTAATTGGCCATTACTGTTTTTTTACTTAGCTGTGTGCTGCCCCCCTCACTACTCTTATAAGACTTATGCAGACCTGAGACATCAAACATGTTTAAAATAATCACCCTAGATTAGGAAGCAGGAGATTAAAGTCTTTAACCCTCACGCACAACCAGCTCATCTGCCCTAAAACGAGTGGGGAAGTTCATCCGTGGCTTTACTTGCTCTTTAAAAACCAAATTGCAAAGCTCAATGTTTATTAAACTGCATCATCAGCTCCCGTGAAGCCAGGTCACCTTTTTTTATGGTGGCATCTGATCTCCCTGTGTCCGTAGCAAAAGGTCACATTGACCAGCGTGTGGCGGCAGAAGCAGAGCAGGTGGCCAGAGGAGAGAAAGTGGAGGGTCGTTATCTGACCTACTTCCTGTCCCAGACGGGGCTGCCCATGAAGACCGTCTACAGCAACGTCACAGAGCTGCTTCTTGCAGGAGTTGACACGGTGGGAAAGAGTCCGCTGTCTGTCCGTTTCTGAACCGTCCCATCTTTCGCTCCGACAGCGGGTTGAAACCTCCCATGTGTTGTTTCAGATCTCCAGCACTCTGTCCTGGTCCCTATACGAGCTGTCCCGACACCCAGAGGTGCAGGACGCGCTCAGGAAGGAGGTGCTGAGTGTCCTGGGAGGCCGAGGGATACCGGAGGCTGCAGACGTAGCCCGCATGCCTCTCCTTAAAGCAACAGTCAAAGAGGTTCTCAGGTAGAACTTTAAAGAGTGTCTGTTTTTTGGAGATTTTTTTTTGTCTCCAAATTGAATTTGGTCTGAAACTGTTGTCTCTTTCTGGGTTTTAGGTTGTACCCAGTAATACCTGCTAATGCAAGGGTCATTACAGACAGAGACATCCAGGTTGGAGGCTACCTCATTCCCAAAAATGTGAGTCTTAAAACCGTTTGTCCTGCACAAATTACTTGAAGCCTGCTTCTGGTAGTTCAGCAGACACTTGAACTATTCAGACTCGCGTCCTGTCACTTTGCTTCAAACAGACATGGCTTGTATCCAGTTAATACATCTTAAACTCTTCCCCTCCAGACTCTGATTACATTATGCCATTTTGCAACATCCCGGGACCCCACGGTGTTTCCAAACCCGCACACCTTCCAACCCTGCCGCTGGTTCAGGAAGGACCAGGCTTACCACCCGTACGCCTCGGTCCCCTTTGGGGTGGGAAAGCGCAGCTGCATAGGCCGTCGTATTGCCGAGCTGGAGCTCTACCTCGCTCTTTCTCGGGTGAGTGGGCTTGACTTTGTGACATTTAGTTGTTTTTTTTTAACCTTTAATAAACAGCTCAGTTGACATATGACTCACCTGCCTGGTGTGGGGGGAAAAAAAGGCTGAAGACAAAACACTCGCAATGCTCAGCTTCTCTGACGATGCTCAGATCCTCTTTTCACTCAATCAGTACATTAGCATGGAAAGTGTAGATGAAAAGGTAGAAGGTAGCCCCACATTCTGGTGCATCCAACATGCAGTTAGGGATTTGATTGACTTCATGCGATGCTCTCAATAAGTCCACACAGCAGTGCTTTTTCTTGGAACAGTGTAAGAAATTAAAAGTAAGGGATTTAAGTAATTATGCAAATCCCACTCCTAATGAACTAACTGGATTAGGTTGTCCGGGGACTACCCAGTCACTACCCGCACTTGCATTATTTGTTTGTTTATTTTTAGCAGCTCTGTTCCTAATCCGTTGACTCGGTTTCTGCTGTTGTCAGATCCTGATAGAGTTCGATGTGAAGCCAGACCCAGAGGGGGTTTCCGTGAAGCCGATGACACGGACTCTTCTCGTTCCTGAAAATGCCATTAGCCTCCAGTTTATTGAACGATGACCTACTCTTCTGAGCGGGACGGTTACACGGGTGAACGTGAGTCCCCTCTGGGCAGAGAGGAGGATGAGCGGCCAGCGTTATCACACCAGCCGTGAGCCCACCTCACGCAGACCTACGACCTTTGACCCATCAAAGAGCAAAGGCCTCCCCGCCTGCTGCCCAGCGCGTGCAGGCCGATACGAGAAGCACTAACAGAGGAAAGACCATACCTCAGCAGGGAAGCTTTTTTTACCGAAAGAGTTGGGACAACAAACTTGATATTGTGTTTGTTTTTTTTTTAACAGCAAGATAGACCACAACATACTAACTCACACAGATACTACAGCCAAAAAAATATATCTGTCCATTAGTTTTGGGGGTTTTCTCAGAAAAATCGGCAGACTTTCATTTCAGGCCTAAAATGTGTCCAACAATGTTGCTTTTGTTGGAATGCAAAGCATTTATGAAACGACACTTATATTTCATAATGAACAGTGATCTATTGCACTCTTAGATACATAATATCAGCAGTTTATTCATTGGTCAGATCTTGTTAACATTTTTTTGATACAGCATTTCTTTATACGTTGTAGTACGGTTAGAAGAAGAATGTTACCCGTGAGGGGTAGTTTTAAAAAAGGCAGCTATTATGAATATGTATGTGTTGTAATGTATTGGGGAAAATATGGGGCAAACATATACAAAATGTTATGATTTTATATATATATAGTATTCAGTTATATGACACAGCCAATTGCAGAACATCTGCCTTTCTTTTTTTTTTTACACTGAAACTCTAGGTAATAATACAATATTTTTCAAAAAGTTACGACTTTGAAGAATGTATTTATTCTAATTTAACACACTTTGAAGTTGTCACTGTATGTCTCAATAAAAGGTGTCAAATTGGGCTTCTTTTGTTGTTTATTTTGGGCCAACATAAAAGAATCATGTCTGATATCATTAATATCACCTGCTCATTTTACATCCTCTTGCTGACTCAGCATTGAGGTCTGCTCTAACACCGGACCCAAGCCCTAAGCGGATCAAACATTTCTTCTGTTGCCATCAGTTTGATACTAATGAACAACCATCTGACATGTGGCTGTGGTGCAGAAGACTTGGATCGATTGTGTACTTTGCAATTTGTTCCTCAATGATGTTTTAACATCCTTGAGCACTTGAAGTTTTGCCCTTGAAACATTTTTTGTTGCCCTCACATTTGACTTTGATGTGTTTGCTATGCTTGGAATATATTAATATGCAAGTACTAAAAGGTTAAAGATCATAAAAAATCAATATTTCACCAGTAATATATTCTAAAACGCACTAACAAAACGAAACAAAATCTAAACATTTGCACATCATCTTGAATGACCATTACCAATTATATAATAATGATGATGGAATTATTGCTTAAAAATGTAATTAATAGATATTTTAAACAGCTTTATAGCTTTTGAGTTAAAGCTGTAAACCTTCACATCAACAACATCACATCTTTAATCATCAATCCATCCTTAACAAGACATAAAGACAAAAATGTCCATAATCGTGTCTTTAAAATGTTTTTCATGACTTTACCTGGATAAATAAATGCCCAGAATTGATCTTCAAATAATAGTCAAGTAATCAAATACGTGGATGAATTAACATATTATCAGAAGGTAAACCTTTATTAGTAACGACTCCGGGTTTTGTGACAAATATGATTCTAGACTCGATTGAAGCCTGAGTCGTTTTTGTTTCTCAGAGGTTTGGACTTGCCAGTTCCGTTCCAGTCCACACGGCGGCAGTAGAGCGCCGCAAGGTGGTTTTCCAACTTCGATCAAACCGTACAGGAAGAAAACAACAATGTAGCCGAAGGGCTAATGCTAATAAGGAGGACGTAAAATATTACAGTTAGGCATGTTTCTGAGGCAACTTTATATCGTAGACAAGCTAAATTAATTTATAGAAACCCAAGATAACGAATATTAGACCATAGCGAAAGATAAAACACATCCAAGGTAAGTCGAACGACACTAAAGCTACGTGTACTAGCTCGTTAGTTGTCCAATGTTAGCTAATGGTAGTTGGCTGTGCTAGCTAAGCTAACGTTAGCGAGACACTTAAAACTACCTTATTTTGATCAATTCAAACAGTTTAGCTAGACCAATTGTATTTCGCTATCGTCTGTGATTACAATATCCATCTTCACAGGTGTTAGTTGTTTGTTGGAGTTCGTTATATATGTCAGAAGATTATACGAGGCCTTATGCTAACAATGTATGTACACAATAATATTGCGGAGCACTGGAATCAAAAAGACGAAATTACGTCTCCTATTAAAAACTCAAAGTTGCAAAGTAACATCTGGGTTTTGCTTTAGTTGTAATCTGTCACCTTGATCACTATGTAACTTTTCAGTTACACCTCATCTTAAATGAGCTTACATGATAATATTCTCATTATTATTACAGTTTTATCAATACATCTATGTCAGCTGATATTAAGGCCAACTGTTTTTTAAGTAAATTATATCATCATGTCTGAGTAAGATTTTCATTGATGTACACCCAGACACATTTACAAAATCCAAACTCCTAAAACTTTATTGGAATTAAACTGCACTGTTTGTTACACGTTTAATTTGAAATGTGTGTGGGCGAGTGTGTATTAGCAGGCAAAAGGTTACACACCTAATTTCCAAGTGTTTAGGATCAATTAGTTTGAACAGTTTGTTTATTTATGCTTGTGTGATGAAGAAATGCAGGCTGGTGATTCGGTAGTTGGTGCATCAATGGGAGTAGGTGGTGTTCAGAGTCGGTCAGAGGATGAGGACTCTCTTGGTGTAAAAGATATGAAGAGGACAGCAACACAAGCCTTTGGCAGTGGTGTACCCAAGCGGAGAAGCTCATCCAGGTTTGATTCATAATCCTTTGTCCATTTAACCCTCACAGCAATAGCATAGGTAAAAAAGTAAAACATGAAATGTATTGTATTTACGTGGATAATCATCAAATATTAAAGATTTGCTGTATACATGTCGACACAACAATGTCCCTACACAATAAGGTCAATAAAGAGAAAGAAGTTTGATGATGAGCTTGTGGAGAGCAGTCTTGTGAAGTCCTCCAGTAGAGTCAAAGGCCCCCCTGTCATAGAGCCTGTCCGCTGTTCGGGAAGTGAGCCTTCATCTAGTGAGAAAAAAAAGGTATACAAGACCAAAACGATAATCCTGGTCCTTAAAGGATCACCAGGCAGAAATGTGATGAAACTTCATAGGACAAAGGGATACATTGATGGACTTTATTTTCCTTCTTTGTCAGGTGACAAAAACAGGTGCTGCTCTCACACCACCTCTCACAATGGTGATAAACCCTGCGCCCATGGTCAAAAGAGTGAAGAAAAGCAAGCAGCCTTTACACATAACTAAAGACTTGGGACGGTGGAAACCCACTGATGATCTACTACTAATAAATGCTGTGTTACAGGTGGGTAGCAACATGTGTGCCTTGTTCTAAATTCAGGACACTGTCTCACTTTTGTGGCTCTCTTTTCTGTCAACTTTTAGCTAATGAGCCAATTATTTTAGGTAAAACAGCTAGATCAATCAGTGTTTTTTCCCCTCAGACTACTGACCTAACGTCGGTTCATTTGGGGGTCAAGTTTAGTTGCCGTTTTACTTTGCGGGAAATCAACGAGAGGTGGTACGCTTTACTGTACGATCCTGTCATCTCAAAGTAAGACACTTAACATGCATTTTTTTCTTGTTTAGACCTCTGAGTTAAAAATAAATAAATAAATTCTGTTTTTACCTTTTAACCTTGTGTGTTTGTACAGGCTGGCATGGCAGGCCATGCGGCAGCTTCACCCAGAAGCGATTGCTGCCATCCAAAGCAAAGCTCTCTTCAGTCAAGCCGAGCAGGCGCTGCTGGCCAAGATTGGTTCGGTAAGGGACATGAAGCTTCAGGAATCTGTCATGCTAAAAGTACGAGACAAGTAAAGCCTAAGCATTTTGTGTACCATTGATTGAGCCACTGTGGTCGTGGCTATAGAAAGCAACACACACGTTTTTACGTGCTGCTTTGTGGATCTTCATGAGTTCATTTGGTTACCAGCACACCTATATCTCTCCTGCTCCGGGCCGATTTTTGTAACAGTGGATTTTCTGTCATATTTTTCATTTCAACAGACTAGTCAGCCCAAACTGGACGTATTTCAGGAGCTTCTAAGCAAACACCCTGGTGTCTTTCATCCTTCACGAACGCCCAAGAGTCTGTTGGTGCACTGGCAGCTGCTTAAACAGTACTACCTACTGGATGACCAGAGTGGTGGGTTGAGTTAAGCTGACATTTAAGGGGATGGTTTTGCGTGAAGGAAGTGCTGCTAAGACATTTCATAAGAATTTGATCGCTCTGCCTGTTATCATGTCATATTGGACAGTAAGAGCCAGTTTGCTCCTTAAAAGTGGCAAAATGAGCAGAAGCCTTCCATGTTTAATGATCCTCTTTGGGTGACTGTCCATTGCAGTACAGCCCCTCCCTAAAGGTGACCAAGTCCTCAACTTCTCTGATGCGGAGCAGATGGTTGATGATGTGAAGTTAAAGTAAGCCTGCCTCTCACTTAGCTTACTTCATGTTTCTTTTCCATTGTTTACTTTTTTTTGTATTTTGAGCACCATTTTCCACATTTTCACTGACAGTTAAGCTCTCTTCTTTGTTTTTTTTAACAGGGAAAGTAGAGATGAGGTGTTGGAACATGGTAAGAACTCTTAGGACACACAGCTTAAGTTACAATGGGTTAGTTTCTTTGTAGATGGAGAATGAAGCACAGATGCTCTATTTTTTTGGACATTCAGTTGTTCTTTTTTAAACAAAAACATCTCTCTGGAATACTCCCCTGGTTTACTTTGTTGTCTCCTTTCAGAGCTGATGATTTCTGATCGTCACCAGAAAAAGGAGATCAGGCAGCTGGAGCAGGAGCTGCCTCGGTGGCAGGTTCTCGTCGACAGCATCACAGGTATAAAAGTCACCACCCATGAGTGGCGAGCAAACCCATTATAAATCTAGTATAACTTTTGAGGAGTAAAACCTGTGCAACCTTGTTTTTTCCACTTGGCCTGCAGGAATGAGTATGCCTGACTTTGACAACCAGACGCTGGCAGCATTACGGGGAAGAATGGTGCGATACCTTATGAGATCGAGAGAGGTGAGGAGAAGATGGGCATGTGCAATGAGAAGCATTGGACCTCAAGGTCGCTATCGTTCTAATTCTCTTTACAAATCTATTTACACAGATTACTCTGGGGAGAGCAACCAAGGACAAACAGGTAGATGTAGATCTGTCTCTAGAGGGGCCTGCCTGGAAGATATCAAGAAAACAAGGTGATTCAACAAAACCGTTGGTTATTGGCCACCAGTGAGAGTTTTTAAAACCTCAACATGTTTTGTGTTTTAATGTGTTTATTTAATCTGAGAAAGAGACATTTTTTTTAAATTGTAATTTTACTGAAATGCTGTCTGTTGAAAATATTTTTCTTTGGCCAAAACGCTACCTGAACATTAATGTCAGGTTTAATTTAAAGAAAATATTAATAATAACGCTACTTGGTGGGGACACATTCACAAAAATAATCTTATCTCTGCCACAGGAGCTTTTTAGTGATATTGATGCCATAAACAACCTTGTTATCACTAGTTCATGTCTAATCGCACTTAATTTGTACTTTGTGGCGACAGGAGTTATTAAACTGAAGAATAATGGAGACTTCTTCATTGCTAATGAGGGAAGGCGGCCCATATACATTGACGGTAGACCAGTCCTGTCGGGCAACAAGTGGAAACTAAACAACAACTCGGTAGTGGAGGTGTGTGGAGGGTGGTAACCCAGTAGAGTGGGTTTAAATGAAACAACTTTGTCATACTTTGGCCAAGCTTATAGGGACAAATCTGTTAAGATCTGTTTCTGTTTCCTTCAGATTGCAGGTCTTCGCTTTGTGTTTTTAATAAACCTGGAGCTCATCTCACTAATAAAAGCTGAAGCAGCCAAGATGACACAGCAGTGAAAGCCAGCGTGGAGCAGCAGTCCACGGCAGCAGCTGTGGTGTTCCACACACGCTGCGCAGAGCCGCCCGGCTGCAGAGAACTGGACTGACATCAGACCTGTTGAACCGGAAATGTGAATCTTAACTAGACTACAGCGAAGTCCCAGAACAAAATGGTAACAGCTTATGCGTCGTGTGTGGATTGGCAAGTTGTAATGTAGACACTTGTGGTATTGCTCTGTTTTTTTCCAGAACATTGTATTTAAATTCTTTAGGGAAGCCTTTTTCAACATATTAAACTTGTATACGGAACATCCTGATGGTTTACTCAGTTCTTTTGGTGGGTACATTTGTCAGTTTTATAAATTCTAGTGTTTGTTCACTCCAGGTCTTAAGGAGTTAACACAACAGATCCCGTGTCAGTTGCAACATATACGTGATTATTGTACTCTGAAGAATCAACTTTGTTCAGGAGTAGTTATATTCATTTTGGGGATTTTTCTTTTGTGTTTATTCCATAGCAGAACATTAAACTCCATGTTCAGTTTTAAAGCCAAGTGAAACTGAGTAATAAGAGTGTGGGAGGTCCTCCAGCTGTCGTACCAGTTTACCAGAACAAGAAAAGTCTGTTCAAGAGACTCAGAACTTTCATTTCACTTTTAGATAAAAAGGTTCATATAAGGGGACAATAGATTAGTTTTGAAATATTTTCAATGGTTCTATTATACGGGGATATTTGATTAAATACGAAATGCACAGATAAGCATAGTTTTTACTGTCTAAATTCTGACAAACTTAGTTAGACCTTCACTGGAAGAACTCTTAAACTCTGCCATTTTCCCACACTGAACCCGTCCACACAGAGGTGACAGCATGGACACAGCATGTTCATGATGATCTGTGTCTGTTCCAACATAAAGTTTGGATGCATTTATTCTTTATAAATCGTGGGGAAAAATGCTTTTTACAGGTGAGAATTACCACAGACTTTTTGGAAAGAGGCCACATAGGGCTCGAAATCTTAAATTCTTAACACATACACTGTGGTCTTTGAATCTGTTGTTGCCATAGCAACACTGTGGTTTGGCTCACCAGCTTAAGTGTTTTTTCCATCCGCAAGGTCATTATTCCAGCCCTCAACGTGTCCATGTGTCAGTATCCATGAGCCAGTAACTGAACCCTTTTCTCTGCCTGATGTGTGCATCCTGTGCGATTGTATAAAGTGTTTGCGTGAAAGCGTCATTAAAAAATACCTCACACTTAACCTAAACATGGTGGAAAAGGTTGTTCATATGTGCAGACCAGAACAGTCCTCAGACCTGTTTGGACTGGATTCATCAAACATATCCCTGCTTACAGTGGCTAAGTATAAACAATGGAAACCACTATCACAGAGCCACAGTTTACTAAACAGTGGTTACATGTGGACACATTCCTGTCATTTTGTCCCCCTCTCAAATCAAGTGTCTGTCATTTCAGGTCACTTAACTTTCAGCAATACTGGCTGTAAAATGTCTCACAGTGTTGAAAGTAAAAAAGTCAAATGAACTTATTAGATATCTCTGATGGCACCACAACTGAACAGTCTGTACTTCAAGTAAGACATTATTGTCTGCATTCTTCTCTGCTTAACACTTAGTGTTTAACTTTGCTCTGTCACATACAACTAATTATTGCAGGACACATCAAGCCAATGTTGGTGTACATCTTAATATTAATATGTTACCAAAAACAGATACTGTGTTAGAGTTGTCATTTATATAACACTTTGCAAACAGAGGGAATTTCCCCAAAATAAAAATTTTCAACATGAATTTGGACTTCGAATCAACGGGTTTTTCCACAACCTGGCAACACAGAATTTGTGACTGTAGTCTTCTACAGCTCTGTTGATGTACACCATTTCATCACCCAAACCAACCCGAAATATAAAACAGTCCTCATTAAAACATATATTATATTCTCTTAATTTAGGAAACGTTACTTTATGGCAACGCGACTCGTTTCCCCCGCAAAGATGATTTTTGCCAGCGTCGTGACTCGTTGCTCTGACAGCAGTAGCTGCCTTGAACGTCCCTCAGGCGCCGTTCGTGTGACGTTCACATCCCCTCAGTTACGTGGTCAATCTGCACTTGCATTGCTAAGAACATTTGGGTACAACGACACCGCCAGCGGACTCAGGAGAAGTGAGTACAACGATTTAATGTGAGTCATTATGAAGGTTCGAGTACTTTTTGCAGGCGGTGGGTTAGTGTGGAATACTTTTAGTGCTAGCTCACTTAGCTGTGTGGAGGATGATGTGCACTCTCATATTAATCAGCTGTAGCTAGCTCACTTCAGTAGAGATTAAAGACGCGTATTTGATATGTGTTTTTATTTATTTATTTACTGTTGTTGATATAAAATACACGAGTAAAGACAGTAATGACCAGAGTTATTTTCTTCAGCTGTTCCCTTTTACTGCGGCACTGGTCAAGCTCATGTCCACAGATTCTGGAAAGTTGTATCAAGGCCACGCTGCCAAAAAACTCCATAAAACGAGCACCGGTGTTCAGCTGAAGCTTGTTGTTGTAATTAACCCGGACTCACTTAGCCCATCTCTGTGGAACATGGACAAATGAAAACATCACGTGGAAAGGAAAGGTAGCCTGGAATTAGTTTAGATGATTTGACTAAATATGCAACAGAAATCTGATAAGTGGATTTACTGAAATTGATACTTTTTAATGGGTTAGCAGGGTTAGACCTCATAAACGGGGGTGATTTGACATGAGAAGATGATTATACTGTGTTCATTGTCAGTTTGTTGCATTATGGGTTTTTCAAACTATTTTTTTTTCTTTATCTGTTTAGTAAAAGCCATTTTGTGCCCTAATTTCGAAATGTTTCACACAGGACTTTGGCCTTGTAGTGCCTTTTGTCAATGTAGCAAGATATAAGACTTACAGTGTAATAAGGTATCATCAGAAATTATATCAAATTCTAGGAATGAAGTGTGATCAGCGATTCGGCAGTGTATTAATGTACATTGTCTCGTCTTTATTATTTTTAGTATTCTTCTGAATCATAAACACTTTTTTTTCTTAGCAGTTGGACCTCTCTGAATTAGTGGAGTCCCACTGACCATATTCTTCCCATGTTCCTGTTTATATACAAAAGATCTTAGTGGCTTATACACACTAAGTCCAGAGTCATAGAAGCTTTGTCCCCCAGAACACTGGCTAATGATTGGTTTTCATCTCCCCCCAAAGGTGTGTGGTCTTTTATCATTGCAGCTATCGTATTCTGAACTACAGAAAAGCAGCAGTGTGGTCTGGAAGTGAGGCTTAGAATACTCAACATGGCTGAATTTTACATGCTTATTTTTTTATATGACCTTGCTCAGGATCAGGTCATCACAAAAGGCTGATTCACTGGCCGTCCGTCATTTAGAGTCAGGTCTTAATTAACAAAAGCAACTGTAGCTTGGTTATCCCGTCCTTACAGCAGTAATCACAGCTCAGGCTTATCTTTGTCAGCTTAACCATATTGTTGTCTCCTCTGTCTTATCAGCCAGCCATTGTCACATCTTTATGTGGAATAGGGGAAGTAAAAGTTACTTATCATCCCAAAGATGATAAGTAACTCATTCAGAGACATTTAAAAGTTTGTGTGTAGTAAAGTGAGAACAAAAAACTTTAGTCCTGCGTTTCATTTTCATTAGTCCTCGGATTTCATTCTTACACAGCGGAATTTAAAATAGGAGTTATGTCTATTAGCTTTAATCCAGCTGTGGTTACAAATGATGCTTTTTACATGAATAAAGAAAGTGATTCATCTGGCCTGTGGTGAGGCTCAGGAGAAGCGTAGACTTTCACTTCTAACGCGAGTGAATTGGATTGTTAACACATCAGCGGGGATGCTACCTCAGTTCAAGTTATTTTTTAGATAACCTTTACTATCTTCATTACCACTGCAGACCGTAATAAAACGGCTGCAGTCGACTGATAAAGCTGAGCTCCAGTTTAAGTCATCTGTCATTAATAGATGGTCCAATAGACATTCATTTTGCACTCCTCCTCATTTGGTTTTTATGCTTAACATAGTGAAAGAAACCTATCATGTTTATTTTTTAATCAGTCACAGATCTTCTCCATAAAGCAGCCCAACCCAAATCAATATAAGTCAAGGCTGAAGAGTTGAACCATCGCAGGGTGGGATCTTTACTGAGTCATAACTGAACATGTGACAGCATTGAGGACAAAGCCCTTTTCAATCAAACTGTTCTTCTGAATGATAAAATGTTTAATTTAGTTTCCATTTTACTCGTGACAGCCCGCCTTTTTTGTTTTTAATAGTCTTGAACGTACTAAAAGCCAGGGCCGCTTATTCCTCCTGTTCACTCCCCCTATGCTGGTTGGCTCTTTCACAGATGGAAGTTACAGCTGGTTGGTCAGTTGAGTAGGAGTCGAAGGTTTAAAGGTTCAGCTTGTAAGTTAACAAGAACACATTTGCTTTAAGTGTAGAAAACTGTTCAGAAATGCATTAGCTATGGACAGAACACAGTCATGCTGAAACCTTTTATCCCAAGTTTTAGACATGAAAGAGGACAATATCATCCTGTACATTCCTTATTTCATTTTAAAAAACTTAATCAGAAATTATTTTGAGCAATATTGACTGCATCTTGGTATAAAAATACAAACATTAGCTGTTAAGATTTGTGAAGGTTTGCTGACATACCTTTGTACGTTTGGCTTGGAGACCTTTATGTCCTACTAGTTTTCAAAGTACTCATCCTACCCTTTTGTTAATAAAGATGCACAATGGATTGCTGTAGATGATGTTTAAACTGACATGTGACATCAGAACTGCTTTGTTTTTCCCTCAACTCAACATCTCTGTAGGAAATCAATGCAATGCTGCTTCTCAGACGGTGTAGCAGCTTGACTCGATTTGGTCCCTCCAGCTCTCAGAGGTATAGTACTGGTTCTTTTAGTGTTGTGTAGTTGTTGTTGGTGGTATAGCTGGTTATGTTGCATTTTATATCTTAACGGTGTATGAATTGTGTTGTCCACTTTACAGATTAAATTTTTTGCATTTTGTGAAGATATTAGAACTGTCTAGTTGGCATTGGACATCCAGTAGTGTTGTGTACCCAGTGAGCTGAGATCCTCTGTAAACATGACATGCCTAACTTCTTTCAGGCTTCAGGTGACATTGTGTGGAGTTCGTTTCTGCAGCAGCAGCAGCAGTGAGGACCACAGATCGCATCAGCGTGCCTCCACCGGTTCCAGATGGAGATATGGTGTGGCGGGGCTGCTGGCCGGTACGGGCGCTGTGCTCGCTCATGGCCTAAACCAGCATAAGGTTAGGAAAAGATTAGCCATTTAAGATAGCCATGTTTGCTTTTTGTGCCTAGCCTACATTGTCCCTGCTAATCAAACTTAGTAAACGTTGCTCAACCAATCAGGTGGTTAGATTTTCGCATGCATGAAACATTCTCCGTGATTAATATAACAGTGATTTACATGATCAGGTCGCAGATGGTTTCCTAGTTTCAGCATAACATTTTAGGCTTTTCATCAGCAGCCCATTGGACATATATGTATACTAAAGGCTCAAAGCTTTTTCTTAGTACTGTATTTGCTAACTGTTTCCTAGTATTTACTGGACTGTTGGTGTGAACAGACTAAACAAGTTTCAACAGTTAATCTGAATGTAAATAATAGTTCTTTATTATCTCTGCTTAATAACTGTAGGGACTTTGTTGAAGTATAGCTATAATGTTTATCATAGTCAAGCAGGGTTTCATACTTGAAATTAAAATTTGTGGTTTGCTGAAGGCTTTCTTTTCTCGTCATTGTTGTCATTTTGACGGAAACTATGTTGCCTTCTTTGTCCAGGCTGAGCAGGAAGATGTCAGCACACAGACCAAGAGGGACAGCTCCCCCTTCCCCATCATCAGCCAGGAGGAAGTCACAAAGCACCGCTCTCTGGAAGATGGGGTGTGGGTCACTTACAAGGGCGGTGTCTATGACATCACTGAGTTTGTGGCAATGCACCCTGGTGGGGCTAAAATCCTGCTGGCAGCCGGTGGCTCCCTTGAGCCTTTTTGGTCACTGTACGCTGTACACAACCAAGAACATGTGCTGGAAATCCTCTCTGAGTATAAGGTAGATAAAACATGTTAATGCAACTCAGAATTCTAAACCTGCTTGTGCAGTTATTCCTTATTTGTTTGATTAAACCTCTCTTTTGCGATTAACACAAGGTTGGTGTGCTGAGTGGAGATGACTTGAAGAAGCAGCAGGCTGTTAAATCATCTGACCCCTACTCTTCTGACCCTGAGCGTCACCCTGCCCTGGTCATCAACAGCCTCAAGCCTTTTAATGCTGAGCCGCCTCCGGAGATCCTCTCGGACAGCTACATTACTCCCTCTGCCCTATTCTTCAAAAGAAACCACCTGCCGGTTCCTCAGGTGGACCTGGCTTCATATCGGCTGCACGTGGAGGGGCTTCCAGGCGGAAAGCTGACACTGTCTTTAGAAGAGTTGAAGACACGCTTCCCCAAACACACCATCACAGCCACCCTGCAGTGTGCAGGCAACCGCCGGAGTGAGATGAATAAGGTGAAACAGGTGAAAGGGCTGAACTGGGGCATAGCAGCCATCAGTAATGCCAAATGGAGCGGGGCGAGGCTTAGGGATGTCCTGCAGGCTGCTGGCTACGGGCCGGACGTCGCCCAGTCGGCTCGCCACGTCCAGTTTGAGGGACTGGATAAAGACGTTACAGGGACTACTTATGGTGCCTCGATTCCTCTGAACAAGGCGGTCAGTGAGGAGGGCGATGTGCTCCTCGCCTATGAGATGAATGGTGAGGATATTCCCCCTGACCACGGCTTCCCAGTGCGGGTTGTGGTACCAGGCGTGGTGGGAGCGCGCAATGTGAAGTGGCTGGGTAAGATCATAGTAAGTGCAGAGGAGAGCAGCAGCCACTGGCAGCAGAACGACTACAAAGGCTTCTCCCCGGGGACGGACTGGGACACGGTGGACTTCAAATCTGCTCCAGCCATCCAGGAGCTGCCCATTCAGTCTGCCATCACCTCGCCAGCAGATGGCGCCATGATCGATCGCAGTGAGGAAACCATAACGGTGAAGGGCTACGCGTGGAGCGGTGGGGGTAGAGAGGTGGTGCGTGTAGACGTGTCTGTGGATGGAGGGAAAACATGGAATGTGGCTCGGCTGAGCAGTGGTGACAAGGGACAGACTCCGGAACCCTCGCCTCCACCGGGGCGAGCATGGGCCTGGAAGCTGTGGGAGGTGTCTGCTCCTCTACCCGCTGAGGCTCAAGAGATGGAGATTATTTGCAAGGCAGTTGACAACAGCTACAACATTCAGCCGGACACGATTCCTCCCATCTGGAACCTGAGGGGCGTGCTTAGCAACGCCTGGCACAGAGTGAAGGTGAAGGTCAGGGAGGATGAGAGTGAGGAATAGAGTCCCCCTACAGACCCCAAAATGTATGCCTCAAGCTGAGTCACCATGGAATGAAATGTTCTCTGAGTACGTGTCAACAGGAAAAGGAAGCTGTTTATCGTAGCGTTGCTCAATAACCCAAAGTTTATTGGAAAAGCAGGTCTGACGCATTTATATGAATCTGTTGTGAAAATCAAAAGATTTACAGAGGCACATAAACTGAAGGAAGTAGAAGGCTGTAAATGACTGAAACCAAGCATGTCTGGTTGCATCTGCTAGATTAATTTACACTGAGTCTGATGTGAAGTGGACTGACAGTCAATAATGGGCACATGGTAATTAATATCAAATCTACCAAATCCATCTACAGATATTGGAAATAATATACAAGTTAAATGGAGTTGTTGCTTTATATCAAAGTGCATTTTGAAGTAGTTGAGTTGACCAACAGCTAAACACTCAGACAACAATCAACCTTGACAATTAAGCTAATAAGTTTTTTCTTTTTCTTCTGCTGTGTCTTTAGTCAGACAAAGAACATAGGAGCTGGAGGTGAACCCGTGTTGGATTCATCCACTTTTGGGTACTATGAAGTCTAATCGTTGGACCTTATGACATTCAGCTATGTTTGTGGTAGAGCACATGGCAGAGCTGGGGGCTGTGCAGCATGTGATGCAGGAATTATGCAGAAACCGCTGTCTTCACTTGAATTCCAAATGTTATTAAATCTTTCTGTTGTTTGTACAGACAACCAGCGGACAGCCGTCATGTTATGGTGCCCTGTGTAGTTCACATGGATCAGCGTTCCTGAGATTTGTACAATGTGCTTCACATATTTGAATGAAAATGTTACACTGGCTTACCTCTGCTGATTCATCCACTGCTGAGTGCAAACGCTCATGAAGTGTCACTCCCACACAGCACTAGGTTTATTCTGTTTAGTCATCAGATCAGGAGAGTGCTGAAACTGCAGTTTTGATTATGCTAAAGAATGTGTTGTGTTTCTTTGATATAAATTTTAATAGAAAACATAGTTTGTTTAACATTGTACTTAAAGTACATTATATATAAAGTAAATGAAGGGTTTAAGATCATGTCCAGCTTTTCCTACTTTACAGAATCTATTTTTTCAGAAGTACTTTTATATATTTGAAGAAGACAAGCACATTGTTTTAAGTCAAAAACAAATAATGTTAGAACAGAAAATTGAGTGCTTAAAAGCAAAATCAAAAATCCAGAAAAGATTATGAAAATCATTTGCATTTTTTGGGGTTTTGTAGGTTGACTTTTGCCCAGAATAAAGCATAGGAAGCAGGGTCCACCTGCAAACACACATGTCCTTTTTATTTGCATAAATCCTTAAAAGTTATTCTTTTTTTACTTTTTTCTTTTTGACTATTTTTCATCAATTACAAAAACATAACTATTGTATATTTATTGTATTGTATACTGTATATTGTAAAACAGGAAAACAATAGTGTGAATGCCTCTAGGTGCTCTCACGATAAAAACATATATTTTTATAATCCATGTTCATTTGGAGCAGCAAACTTCCATGTATTGATTACAAATATTTCTGCTAAGCAATGAAGACAAAATAAAGATTTGGCTGACAGTCACAAAATGTTTCCAGCATCTAATGAAAATAGTAACAGAATGTGCTGATGGGCACTAATGAAGTCACTTTGCTTCCCAGATGCAGTTCTTAAAAAGAGAAACGATCTCATCAGCACACTGAATTCCTCTTAAGGCAAAACGGATTATGTATCACATGTACTGACAGTTAAAGCATGCATGCACAAACAAAACTGTTAGTATTCAAATTTGATGTCAAAGAAATTGGAATCTAATGAGCACATTACAGATGCCAAACAGCTGTGATAAAGTCTGTAGGGGGGGGGGTGAGATGTGTTTGACAGCTCTCTGGCACTGAAATTATTCATCATCACACTGAGGTTATCTCGGTTTGTCGATGCGCAGGTAGAAACATGAATATTTGTTTTGGGGGATGAAGCCGAGTGTGCACACAGCAGGCGAGGCTCATGTTGCGGTTTAGGCCGATACTTGTGCTGAGATTGACTGAGCATCCTGAGAGGTATTAACACCAGAACACCTCTGACCCTGCAGAGAAGCCGGGGATATTGTCAAGAGAGTGTCCCGGCTTGTTAATGCAGCTGAAGCATGGCTTACTTCAGACAGCTTGACTTTATAAACTGTTGGGGAGTGTATGGTGCAGCAGAAGCCCCCGCCCGTCCTCCCTGAACAGCTGCACACTGGAACAGGCGACTGCCTGCTCTTGTAATTCTCATTCTTCAGAGGTGGATCATCGCAGCCACAGGCCTGACTCATGCACGCCTGACTTAAAAGTGCCGGGACGCCCCGGAAGACAGCGAGTCTGCTGAGAGACCGCCGAGCTCTTCTCAGGCTGCGAAGCACCAGCTGTGCATATCTGGGACAGAATTCCGCTCATGAAAAGTTGATGATGGAGTATTTAGGACTGCTGCTGGTGCTGCTGCTCAGCCTCAGAGGAGCGTGGAGCGCTGTGGTGGAGTGGACAGAATTAAATGAAGCCATGGTAAGATCATCACTGGCACACTTACTGCATTCCAGCACTTGGAGTTCTTTTCCAAATAAACCTTTTTGTTGATCTCAACTTGAAGTCGGTTTAAAGTTTGTGCATGTTCGCACAAAATAAGTTTAAGTATTGCTTGCAACACACTAAGGCTTTGTTTGTCTCCACCTGTACAGGCATATTTGAGGCAGTTTGGTTACCTGGGTGACCCCACTGATCCACAAGACCCTCATTATCTGGAGGAGCTCATTGAGGCTCTCAGGTGACATTATGTTAAGCCTTTTTTCAAGAAAACTGAGTAGCTAGGTTAAGGCCACAGCAAATATTAGATAATCAGATTTGAAAAATGGACATGGTTATTTTTTTTCCTTTTCCAATCAGTTTGCTGATGTTGGATGGCTTCTTTATTTGTCAGAGTATTTCAGAGGGTGAATGATCTGCCACCTACTGGAGAGTTAGATGATGTTACCCTGGAAGTAATGAGGCAGCCCCGCTGTGGGGTGGAGGATCCCTTTAACAAGAAATTAAACAAGTACAGAGTGATGGGTGAGTGTCAGTATTTAGATCTATGTACATAGGTTTGCTCTAGAAATTGAGCTTAAAAGTAAAACTGTTAGCACCAGCTGGAGTGTCTGGCATCACTGTGACTTAGATTGCTGAGTTTACTTTTGGAGGGAGGAAGACACTGAGTTTTGTGCTTTGCTCATATGTTAAAAGATTAAAGAAACGTCTTTTGAATTTAATCGACAATAGTTGAATGAATGGCAGAGGTAGAGATACTTAGAAATCACTACATCTCAGAACACAACACTTGCATTTTTCTCTAAAACAAATTCAGAAAATGTCGCCGTGTTGCCTTAGAAAAAAGGATTTTTCTCTTTCTCTCTCGCAGGTCGTTGGAGAAAAAAGAAACTGACCTACCGCATCTACAACTATACACCTGACATGATGAAGTCCGAGGTTAGGGCGGCCATCCGTTCTGCTTTCAAGTACTGGAGTGATGTGGCAGCTTTGACTTTCACAGAAGTCGACTACGGCAGAGCAGACATAAGAATCTCCTTTCACAAGAAGGATGGTTTCTGCTCTGTCCCGTTTGATGGCCGGGGTTTGTTTCCACTGTTAAAACCTAGATCTTTTTTGCCTATAAAAAACACTGAACCATCGCCAGTCATCTGCCACTCAGCCACGGGGCCAATGCTGTGTGTCTGTTCTCCGTTCAGGTCACGTTTTAGCTCACGCCGAGTCTCCAGAATCTGGAATCGTCCACTTTGATGAGGATGAGTTCTGGACTGAGGGATCTTATTCGGGGACCAATCTGCGCATCGTAGCTGCCCATGAGATCGGCCACGCCCTCGGTCTGGGCCACTCCCAGTTCAGAAGTGCCCTGATGGCTGCTGTCTACATCGGTTACCGCTCCAACTTCAGGCTGCACTCCGATGACGTGAAAGGCATCCAAGCATTGTACGGTGAGTTTGTCGTGCGGTTCTGTTCAGCAAATGAAGTGGTACTCTGAGCCACTTGTAGTGAATGAATGACTCAATGTATCACATCGCGTTTTCTGGCAAATATTGTAAACCTTATGAACATTCCACTCAGCAGGTTACAGTTTAGGTAAATGATTCCTGACTGTGGTTAATATTAAAGTTGCCATTGGAGCAGTGATATAATTAGTCCTCTTTTGCCTCAGGCGTCTGGTGCAATTAAAGAATTCTTTGATGCCATTAGCTAACAAAAGTAAGGTCAAACCTTTGGGCTGGGCCCTGGATGTCTACCATAGACTGTAAATTTATAATGATGTGCACTCAGGTACTGTATACTTTTGTTGTATGCTCTTTCTATTACAACAAAAATGTTAATGTGGTCTTGTTGATTTTGTTGCAGGCAAACGCATCAGCAGCCCTTTAGCTACTCCATCAACTCCAAGCGGGCTGTTTCCCACAGAGGGCAGTGGTGGAAGTGCCAGTGTCCCTGATCCCTGCACTGCTGTGCTAGATGCCATCATGCTGGGTATGTATTTGTTCAACCTTTGTCAGTATAGAAAGATGATCCGCATGCAATACATTTGTTTCACAGAGAGGAGACAATAAAAAAAAAAGATGAACTCATATAGATTAATGAAGTGTTATTTGGGAATTTTCAAAACAGCAGTCAAAGTCAAGAGCTCATTATTCCAAAAGGGATCATGTTGTTTGCAGTTTTCCGCTGATTTATAGTTTTTGTTTTTTCAATTTTTTTTTACAATTTTGACAAATCTACCCAACATTTGTTGAACCAGGTCCTTGGGATAAAACCTTTGCCTTTAGCGGTGATTATGTCTGGACGATCTCTGACCTGGGCCATAACACACCATTAAAAATCAACAGACTGTGGAGGGAACTCCCTGGAAACCTAAATGCTGCTGTCCATTCTCAAAGAACGAACAAGACATACTTCTTTAAAGGTAGAGTCATTTTGGTTTGGTGAAGCCGCGGGGGCGCAGGATTTCTTCTGTTCTGCAGCTGTTTCCACTGACCATTAAAGGTTTGAACTCCCTGTGGTCACAGGCAGTAAAGTGTGGAGGTATACACGATTCATGCTCGACATTGGCTACCCAAAAGAGGTGAAAAAGATCCCTGCTGACATCAATGCAGCCTTGTACCTGCAGAAAAACAAAAAGCTGGTCTTCATAAAGGTATCTATGGAGAGATGTGGCTAATATTTGTGATCATTCCTGAACTTATGCAGTTTTCATTCACTTTTTTTTGCTCCCTCTCTGCACAGGGATCAGAGCACTGGCAGTTTGATGAACTGAGGTACAACGACATGACTTTATACCCCAAACCGCTCAGCAAGCTCTTCACCGGCGTGCCATCCTCACCTGATGCAGCCTTCACATGGAACAACGGCAAGGTCTTCTTCTTTAAGGGGGATGAGTACTGGCGGGTGAACGAATTTCTGAGAGCTGACCAGGGATACCCGCTGAGCAAGAAGGAGCGTTGGATGCGATGTTAGTTAGCGACCATCAGGCGGCAGCAGACACAAAGAGGTCTGAGGGAGGAGCTGCTGGTTCCACTTCAGGGCCATTAAAATGCGTCCTCAAAAACAGTTGTGTGTGATGCAGGACTGAACACATTACAGAAAACTAGTGTGAGAAGTCCTATAATTTCACTGGATCGGAGTACAAACAATGTGCTCCCGAGCCGGTTGACGTCTGTGAGGCGATCTCCTGTACTGTGTTTGTGCAACTAACTTTTGTCTGCTAACAAGTTCAAGCTAAAATATGATCTTTGGGAGAAATCAAGGCCTTGTGTTTTTTTTCTTTGACATGTGTCTTAGATTACATGTCGCAATAGCTTCAGTATGATGGGATATGGTGATAGGAGTGTAGTCCTTTTCTTCAGTTTTGTTTAATCAGTTTCTTAAGCAAGTTCAGAGTACGCTGACACCATTTAAAAACGTATTAATATGTGAAAAACCTGCCATATGACTTATGTTCTTATGCTATGTGAAAACATAAGATTTTCAACTATTAAAGAGATTACAAAAGCATCATCGCCTTTTCTATCAACCACTAAACAACTTCAACATTCAATTAGAAAGGACAGAAAAATATCCAGTGATCAAAGGCCGGTCTGTCCTGCATTGTGCTGAATGAAAGAAAAAAAAAAACTGTAGGCACCATGGCAACACCAACCAATTGCTGGGGAAAATCCTCCCCATGACCTCTTTATTGCCCAGAAATCCAGCGATTGCCAGGGTTGCTAAGAGCTTCAGGAGACAAACAGCGAAGCAGATGACTCATTACTCAAGCAAACTGTTATTTTATATCAAATTTATTTATCTGTGAAAATTCTATCAACAGGTATTTACATATTCACTTGACAGATTTGCCACTTCTGTAAAATTCAAACATAAAATGGAAAAAGATTCAAATAGCTACAAATGAACAACCAACATGCTTAGTTTTTTTCTATTTTTTAAAATCTCTATCAGATACTTGCTCATTACATAAATTATATTAAAAAAGGGATTCATCCAAAGGCACACAGTCTAAACACAACAGTCTAAATTCTTCATAGATTGTATTCTGATGAGATGGCTGGACTCCAGAAGCACAAACAGGTCTGAGGTGTAGTTAGCGTGGATCTGCTTTCAAATATATTTGTTTATTTATCTATTGCATTTACTTCTCACTTCACTTTGTCAAATGCTGTGTGACCCAGTATCATACTTTACTTTCTCACAATATTCTATCTGAAAACATTACACCAAAGTGTACTACTGACAAACTTGTCCAAATTCTCTGACCAGAAAGTTAGAAAGAAAGACAGGTAACAACACAACACAACACTTTATGGCAAAGACTAACTCTTGAAGTACAGTACAAGTAATGTCAAACGGAAATTCTTCTGTGTCTGAGGCTCATGCTTGTTATGTATTTAACACAAGAAGTGGAAATGGGTGGCCATAGAATCTATTTTTCATTGTTTCTCTGAGAAACATGGTGGTTAGAGTGGTTTTAGCATCGTCAAACAGGACTTCCAAAGCTTGTAAAATCCATCCAGAAAGGAGCAACCTGACGAGAAAGCCATCTTCGCTCCAATTCCGTTTCAAGGCAGTAAATCCTTCTAATAGTAGAGCTGTTAATGACCTACGCTGATAGGAAGACATCTGGACAACCATGGCTTCTTTTTCTGTCATATCTCAGACCCTGACGACTGGAGTTGTGGCAGTGAGGGGAACCGTGGAGCCCGTATCGTAGTCCATGTCGATCATAGTTTGCTCTGTGGTGCCAACGCTGCTAATTGAAGTACCTGTGCCCATCTGCCTGTCCCGCAAACTTTGTAGGTAGCTCTGAGAACAACAAAACCAGGAGAAATGAGTCATGCTTTCCATATCATGCTACAGAGACACATCTCCACTTTTTGAACTCATAATGTGTTAGCATAAGTGAGTGAAAACACTGTGGCACACGCTGTGTGGGGCTACACTGACCGGCGCCAGCAGATCCCCAGCGTAACGTTTCACTGGAGCGGGTTTACGGCGGTACGTGCCTTCCTGCCCACCTGCCTGCTGACGCTTCTTGGCGTCCTTCTCTCGGATCCGCATCAGCTGGACTCGCTTCTGTCTCCGACTGATGACGACTGTGAGAAGAAAGGGAAACGCGAAAGGAGCTCTAACATTAAAAGTCTGTCTGTGAAAGCATCAGTGGAGCTTTTGCGTCTAAACTGATATGATTACGTTCATGAGGACGAGGAGAGAACATGCCAATCAAGGTATTTAAGCCGGCATATCTTTGACAAAAATATTTCTCAAATGGATTCCTACATAATTAAGGAAACCAGCAGTAGTCTCCAGTTAGATAATTTGGTAATGATAGATTTTTTAGGTAGATATATTTTTAGAATGCTTTCACTGTCATTGGACAGTTAACAGTACACTGAAATGTGTGTATCTCTACTCGGATTACTTTCTTTGTCCCTGCATACATGCAAAGGAGTGAAATGGTTCTATCAAACAAAGTAGGCTCAACACTGCAGGCTGTTGTATGTTTAAAAAAACTGCTTATGACTTTCTCTGTTGGAGGCTGAATGGTGATTTTACTCCTAGATTAGGGCTTGACAAGACAGAGCGACAGTCTGGAAATATTTTTAGTGACTATGATTATTAAGATTCCGAATAGTAGAGGGGATTTCACACCCAACATCAGCTGGGTGTGCAGATTTACATATTTATAGGTAACTCCCTATTAATCTGATATGTTTTACTCCCTCAGGCACTTTGTCTTGTTGATCACAGAGGAAGTTTTAGTTGAAAGAAGCAGAGGTTGTCAAAATGGTCATTATAAAAACCCTACAAATCTTATTCCATCACTTTGATGGTTGAGTCATCACATAAATGTCTCCAATTCTCCTCAATACAAAAGCAGCTCTGATGTCTGCATGTGGATATTAAACATGCTGCTTCTGAGCACAGAGCAGTAACTTCAGGCGGGCTATCACTTTACACTTTCAAGCCTGTCTAGCTCCCCTCTGCCCTTATTTACATCGTCCATCAAAATTAGTGACCCGGCAACACATGCCGATGCCAGCCTGCTGATTCCTCAGAGAAATGAATTCTCGCAAGTTGAAGCTAGCTCGTGGTTGGAGCAGGAATTTACTTTGACTAAACTAAAAGAGTCCGATTCTGAAATCTGACTCTAACGTTAGTTGATCCTTACCATCTGTGTGTGAGAAGCTGTCATCTGTCAGTTTCCATTGGACCAGTGCACCTATGAGGCTGAGGGCTGGCCAGATGCCCAGAATCACCCAGCTGTACCAGCAGAGCTGTGGCCCGGGCGTGAGGCGCAAGCAGTCGTACACGTGAGAGGCCAACACCAGCATCTCCACAAAATAGTCGGCGCACACAGTCATGATGGCCGCTCCGAACACGGCGGTGGAGAGCATGGTGAAGACCTTCTGCCACTGCAGCGTCAGCACAGCGAACAGCATGCCGCTTCCCAGCAGAGTGCCCAGGGGCACCCAGACTGTGGTGGGAGTGTAGAACTGGTTGGTGACCAGCAGGGCGGCCAGAGCCAGAAGCAGTCCCAGCAGCAGGCCCGTCATGAAGAGGCCCACGCTGCGCACCAGCATGGTGACCAGGCCGCAGAGGAGGCCTATGCCCAGGCCGATCCCCGCGCTGGCCTCCACGCTCAGCTGCGTGTCCAGCACGTGCTCCTTGTGGCACAGCAAGAATATGATGACCGAGCCAAACATGAGACCGGAGAGGAACATGACCGCCTTGAAACAGCGGTAACCTTGAGGGAATAGACAGAAGACAAGAATCAAAATAAGGATTAGGGACAGACAGGCTGAAACTGGGATGTTCTAAAGGCGTCTGGCGTAAGTTTCAGAGGTCCTCACCAAAGAAGCAGTAGATGATGCCGAAGAGACAACACATGGAGCAGATGACTGCAGGGATGACGTCATATTTTCTCTCGATTTCCAAACTACATACATCAACATTAGCCATGCCGGCCCCCTCCCCTTCGGGGCCCAGCCCAGTGGGATCGGTCATTTCGGTCGAACGTTGGAGGATCTGGGACAGGCTGAAGGTCAGGATGAGGGTAGAACTTCAGTCTGTTTTATCTGAAGTCCATCTGTGCAGGATGGCTGACTGTAAGAGAGAAGAAAAGGTTTACAAAAGAGTAGGACAAACGGGACAAATCCAGTAACAAGTAAAATACATTTCTCTAATGCGGAGAACCCCGGAGCACAGAGGAAAAGTGTGAAATCTGCAGATCAACTGTGACTTCTTTCAAACTGCTCTGAATGTGAAGCTGTCCCAGTGACCTAAAAACATTAAAATATATATATACTGTCAGTCTCTGCCCCCTTTGAAAAGACTGGGACCAGGCACTTCTCATTCAGTGCAACCTGTGTTCCTGTCCCCTTTTCCTGAGTGAGTTGATAGATCTGAGCTCTGCGTTAGCTTTAGTCCTTCAACAACAAAAAAAGGATGAAGAGACATTTGCAGATAAATACTTTAAACACACTGAGCTCTACAGTCTAAATAAACCCCTTTTTAATCGAAATTCCAAAAACAGATAGTTTAACATGTTTCAACTACTTTACATTTCATCTCGTCTTACTTTTCCCTCCTCTCTTTATGATTTGTGTTTCAGCCAACTTGTATTCACTAGTATTCCTGAAAGATTATATGATACTAAAGCTGGCAGGCCTGGAGGGAGCCGCAGAGGGCTGTAGCAGAGCTAAACACATATGGGTGGACTGCTCTCTCAGAGGCTGCTGGCAGGCCTCCTGTATGAGCTCACCACAGTTGAGATCGAATTACAACTTATCCACATTGTCTGCTTGAGACAAACAGTCAGGAAGAGTCTGTGCTGCCTTTTGTGCCCATTAACTACCAGCTTCTCCCTCTGCACTCAAATTCTCTACCACTCCTTTTTACCTCGACGCTGAATTATTCTTTTTTTTTCATCTGCACTGAAGTGACACACATACGTTCTGCCTTTTTTTCCTCAGACCTGCAATTTGCATGTCCTGCCCATGAATGACTTTACATGGAAAAAATGAGACCATTGCGAAGCTCTTTTCTCCTTCAATCACTCGCTGTTGTTTGGTGTCTATTCCCTTTTCTGTCAGTGAAAACTGAGAGGTTTCCTTCCTCTGCAGAGAAAAGACAATTTATAAACGATGAAGCTTGATAAAAGAAAGGAAGAAGGTGTTTAAAAGGAAAAGGTTTAGAGTTCGAGCAATAATTGATCTGAATTGACATTGCCTATTTGTTTTATTTGTTAAATATAGCTAGCTTTAGTCTGTTTGGTATCCCTGATATCTCCTGAATAAAAACAGATTTTTCTACTCTGTGCCTCTGGGAGGAGTGTCTCGGTTTCATCCACAGTCAAACTTACCATGACTTTCATTATCATGTCCATTAAGTTGTGTGCATATGGTTTCTCGATAAGTAAATGACAAAACATGGGGAGTGGAAATCAGGTTCTTGCATGTGTGCATAGTTTCAAGATGATTGCGATTTTTATTAACCTAAGAACACTGCTTAAACACATCTTGACGTATCGTACAACATGGTTGCGAAAGGCACATTTCTGCGTACGATGTTTGAGTCATTAAAACATCAGCACAGTTTTTATGCATCTGGCCTCCAGCTAATTATGAAAACATCCATTAATATATTAATATTCTGCCACACTGGGTCTAGCTTTTCTGGTCTTATTCCTTGTTAATTTCATTATAACTTTAGGTAAAAATCCTGAGGTCAGATAATAAGTGGAACAATTTGGATTATTGCATAATATCTAAAAAACACTTTCAATTGACAGTCAAATTATGTGTAATAAATTAAATAAATTATAAATGATATATTATTATTATTAGATTATTATTATTACTATATCAACAGAAAAAGCCAGCAACAATAAAATACATATATTCTATACATATTCCTCCTGTGAAAAGTGTGTTTTACTGATAGCACAGAGAGCTTTGGAGCTGTGTGCTAGCTGAATTCTCAGCACTGTTTTAACAGTAATCTTATTTAACGCTACACACATCCACTCCCATGTCTCTGCCTCATGTTACCTCCCCTCATCACAATGGTGTCCTATGTGTGGCAGGTTTGGAAGTCAATGCTGCTGTGGGAGAAAATAGAGCCATTATGGGGCCAAACAAAGACACTGAGGCCCATGCCGTGACCTCTAGTGGCACTCGGAGGAAACCATGCGGATAAAAGAGAAGACCACATAAAGATGGCTGAGAGTGGCAAGGAAACTGCTACATCCCCAGTTGTTTGCTTTGAGATAGGTGCCAATTATTTGCCTTCGCTGAGCTAGTGAGTGACAAGGGCGGAGGCGGTGAGATCCTGTCCAAGAGCAAAACTTTCTGACGGAGCCCTCTGAAAGCCCCCCCAAAAACTCCCAATTCTTACGTTTCTGCAAACTGAGGTTGCCTGGCAACTTATTCAATGGGAGTCAACTAAAGCAAACTTCCAGCTCCCAAGGCAGGACTCCAAAAGACTTCATCATGCTTTAGGGGTTTACCATTTACCAATATCTGAGCATTAATGCTTAGCATTGTCATTTCCCTTTGTTTATGTCTATGATTTTCATTCAGAAGTGTACAACAAAAACAAAGACTATTCAACTGTTTTTATTGATGCGACTTCAGCAGACTTAAATGTTTTCAACCTGTGAATCTCATTGTTGTTGATGTTTAAAAAACAGGAAAAAAGCTATTGGCAAAGCTACATTGAACAGCTATTAGAGAGCCATTTTGTCCTTAGGTGCACTCTGCTTGTACTGCGGGAGGAGGCTGTGCCCGGAAGATCTGAGTGCTCAGCTGCCGAGGATAGGGAAAGCTGACTGTAAGTTCCCCACATAGCTAATTTGGGTGTGTTTAATCAAGGGGTGGGTGTGTATGATCACAGCCCGGGATTCTGTGAATGCTCCCTTGACGTGACAGCTGGGGCCAGCTGAGATGCCGAAAACCTGCCGTGTTATGACTTGGCTGCCTCACAACGTTGCTTTAAAGACCCTGCTAAGAATGAGAGATGCTGACTGAAGTCCGGACAGTTGGAATTATAAATCATGCCACCTGAAGCCGAACACCCCGACCACCTGGAAGACTGACCGGCCCCAGACACCAGCTGTGGGAGTAAAGTTAAGTGTCCCATAAAGGGTGTAAAGGGAGGCCTGACTATTTAAAGCTTAAAAGTCCACACACATATAAATAAAAGCACATTATCACTATAAATGCTTTTACTCAGAACCACAGAGAACAAGACATCAAACGATCCGCTACGAAGCTTCCTGCCCTTCCATAGCAGGAAGCCCAGGTCCAGATCAGGAAGTGGAACATCGCCTTTCAGCAGGAACTGACCCCTGTGTTTGCGACACGGAGCAGAGACAGAAACCCAGGCTTTGATTAACAACACCAGACAAAAAACATATTAAACCAGAACCTCCAATTCTATCAGTCTGACACTTCAGGAGACATTTTAGGAGATAGCATCCCTCACCTGCACTCCTCCACGGGGCGCCAGGAGCACGCGCAGCGTTCTGATGCAATGAAAATAAGCCTGTAATCTATCCGGCCTGCAGGCTGCTCACCATACAACACTCAGCATTGTGCCACAAGCGCCTGTGCTTATGTGAGCGGGGCTGAGAGGGGATTTCACATGTAGGGGATCACGCCGTGTTTGCGTGCCGCAGTTGCATAACGAGCATCCTTCACTTTTCTCGGACTTCGAATGGTAGCTCGAGTTTGCTGCTCCTCAACGTTTACTCTGAATTTAAGCTCCACGTTATCCTATTCTGGCTCAAATGTTGCACTGATAACCTGGAATAACAAACAAAGCGGGGACTTGGAATCCTCAGGCCTACAAAGTGTTTTCTCTCCTGTCAGTCACAGAGTTGGTTTAATGCCCATGAAGTTATTTCATTCGTGAATTCAGGTTTACTTTGACCCATTCACACCTATTAACCGCTCAGAGACTAACAGAGGATTTATTTTGCCTATACTCTTGTCTTCGCTGTAAAATCGTTTGAATGTTGAATTTTAATAAAGCTTGATTGGTCATGTACGGCCCAAACTCACTGTGCTAAACATGTCTCACACACACATTCTCCATGACATGTTCCAAAGCTTTTGGATCAGACCGGCCTTCTCTGACACCTTCTGCTGAGATACTAAACTTATTAAGCTTTAAGGCTGCCGTTAGCTGCTTCACAAAAAGTCTATTAAAAAAGTACTTTAAAACTGTCATGCTGTGGAAGTACTTAATTCACATTTACACTAAAAACTGGATAAAGTTTTAAAAATAACTGCATTCAAGTTGTTTTTTTTAAGAAAAAGCTAAATCAACTTTCTTCTTTCTTGTTTTCTTTCGTGTTTAAGTCTTTCAAGGCCAGATGTCAGACAGCAACTTATAGAAGGGATGAAAAAAAGCAGATAAGACGATGGAGCGAGTGCATCCTACTTGTCACATGCTTTTTAACACGGTAAAATCCATTATCACCAAAGCTGCAGTAAGTTACGGCTGTGATTCAGCCTCTCAGGGAGGAGTGCGTGGTGTGTGCTGCAAGGTGGGGCCGATCCATAACGCTCCATTAAGGCCTGTGGTAGACAAGAGCGTTTAGTGGGCAAGGTTCATGTAACAGTGAGAGTGCAGCAGCAAAGCTCTGTATGTGTGACGGCGTGCACTGTGGACCCTAGAGGTGGTCCTCGGTTCAGAATCTACTCATTTTAATTCTAATGTGTCTTTTAGCTTTGCTTCAAATGATGGTGTCTGACAGAAAAGGGCAGGCTTCCACTGATGTTTTACAGAAAATAGGCCTGGATGGTGGAGGAGCTGTGAGAAACGCACACAGCAGCGATGGTCCAGACCTCCATTGCAGCGCCCGTATATGTCTGCAGCACTCCCACAGCAGCTCTATCATTTCCAGCCACCATCTAACCCCGTATGTAAAATTCCAGCCTGCAGTAATTGTACCTCCTACAGCGATCTCAGCCCAAAAATATCTCACATGTCCTTCATTTTCTAAGCCGACTGAACACCCTGTCATTTAACCCATGTTTAGAGACCGGTAAGTAGTCTATGGATGAATGTTTCAGAATTATTACCATAACTTTCACTGTGGTTCCCTAGTAACAAAAGGGCTTTTTTCGGCACTAGGGAGTCTCTGGATCCCTCTGTCCGCCAAGAATGTCACCCAAACCTGTGTGTCTTCATATCAGCTCACGCAGATGGACATCAGAACCAGAATAACTTTTTATCTTATCAAAAACAATATCTGACTATGACCTGATACAGAGAAACGAGCGTAGATAAGTATAAGTCCTCTATGCATTGCTAAATCAGAGTGTTTGAGGTTTTCTTTGACAGCCAACTTCAGTGAAGTGTTCATAATCGAACCATTAGCAACGCAGTCATGATTCACTCAGTAAGCAGAGTAGAAGGCAACGATTAACAACATCAACACCATGAACTACACGCTACACTTCCTTCAAAACAATGCTCTTTCTTAGGAGCTTTCTCCAGTATATAAGCTGTGTCCACGTGCAATACGTAGCACGTACAGACACAGGAGGAAGTGGCCCCACAGTCACAAGGCAACCCATCAGGTCTGAAGACTTCAGTTACAACAGCTTAAATGTGTGTATATGTGGGATGTGTGTCTGAACAGAGAGTGAGAAACCTCCTGTAGTTGGATCCATTTGAGTGCTCATAAATAAACACTGAACAATAATACAATCAATGCGTGTCATGCTCATTTACGGCTGTATTGAAGGAAAATGCTGTGTGTTTTGAAGGCACATTAACATAACTATGATCCAAACATAAAGACGAAGCTTTCTCATTTAAATGGGAAACTCAGCTTTCTTTTAGGGGTGCGCTGTGATTTCTGGGAAAGACATTTCATCATAGAGTTTAGTCCAAGACAAAAACCAAGACCTGTGTCATAATTAAAGGGTGAAGGAACTGGAACAGCCCAACTTCCATTAAGCTCTGTTTTTCATGCCTCCTTTCCTGTCTTCTCCTTTTCCCTAAAAGCGAGGAAGGGCTTCCTCTTTGCCGTTTGAAAGGGGAAAAACCATCTGGTGCAGGCTCTCAGAGTGGGTCATGAAGATGGGGGGGGGGGGTGTTGCTCTACATTGAGTGGTTGGAATTACAAACTGAACGCTGCCCAGTAAAGACAGGACTTCTAGGCTGTCATCACATTGCCCCCAAAAAATCCGAGAGGCATTCCCACCCTTGATCACATAGCAGAACCACAGGGTAGGGCTTTCTGAAAGCTGCAGGAGCCACAAGGACAGACTAAATGTTTGCCTGAGACGATGACAGGCGGGTCCACACAGTTATGCTCACATTTAGCAACATTATCAGTGAACACCAATAAAAAAAAAATCACCACTAAATAATCACTTAAAAGGGTCCATTAATGATGGATAAGCATCCTGTGATATGGACTGGCACCACTTCTGCATAACTGAGATGAGTACACAGGAAGATGGTCTAACTGCCTGGTTAAGTGCTCATGAATACAGCCTTTATTACCCTGGATCATTATGTCCTCAAAGGCTGAAGGATAGGCTGCATTATGTGTCTCAAGAGCAGAATGTTTTTTTTTTTTGCAGGGTGGCTACGTGTAATGGGAAACATTTCCAGCTGCAGAGTTTGGCGCTGATCCCTCAGATTTGGAATGGGATCATTCCACTGATCAGTGGTGGAATCAGAGAAGAGATCACTGCTGTAAACCGGGTTCGATCCCCGCTCCCCGACAGTGGATTGTCCCAAAGCTGGCATCTGGGAGCACTAAGCAGCCCCGTTTTGTTCACGTTTGCACAGACAGAAACACGGAATTTTTTTAGTAAACTTTGTTGGAGATCACTTACCGATGAGCCTGGGTTCGGCGGCTGGGACTTCTCCCCTCGACAATGGGCTCTGTCAGGCAGGAAGGAGAGCCCACCATTCAAAAACACAAGAAGCAGCAACAGGGCGCCACGGAGAACCGGTTTTCTCTCAACTTATCCCCGGGCTCTTTAAAAAACTCACGAGCCCCTCTCAACCGACAGCATCGTTTTGTTCCTGTCCCTGCTTTGGTGTAAATCTGTTCCGGGGGCAGATGTGAGGACGGCTGGCTGCTCTCCGTCCGCTGCGGCCGCCTCGCTGACCTCAACAACTTCAAACTAATCCTTCAACTTCCATCCACGACTCGACGCCGAGTCCGAGTAAACCTCTGTGGAAAATCTTAACGCAACCCCTCCTCTTCCCTGCCTGAAGTAAATGGCTCAGAAAAAAAAACAAAAGAGGAAAACTTTTCCCTCGCTCCCCCGCCCCGGGGCAACCCACCCTTCTATCTCCATCCAGCGTCAGCCGTTGGGCCGTTGGAAGTCCGGGGGGCGGGGGGGGGGGGGGCACAGTCTAGCAGGCTTTGTTGGATTTTTTAACACAAACGTCAAACAAACAGTGAAAATGACTAGTGTCACCCAACCAGAAAGTTAAGCTCCGACACACCGAAAACAAGGTCTGAACGCTTTAAGGGCACCTTCAGCATTATCGTTCAGAAGAATATTGGATAAACTGTCGACAAGCATTTCAAATGAGTCCATATGTTTTGAGTTGACAGGTTTCCTTTCATATGGTCCACAATCCAACCTGCCTAAAAACATAGAGGTTACTGGCAGAAAATTTAAAGTTGTACACGGTATACAGTTAATCCAGTGTGTTATTTTTAAATCACCTGAATGGCAACATTCTTCCAGGGTTTGACAAAAAGTAAAGGCTTAAGAAGTCATCTTTTTTGGCTTCATCAAGACAGTGATGTGTCGTTTGTTTATCAGCCAGATACAAGTTCCATCAAGGAAACGTTTTTCCTCATTAGAAAAGGTTCTTATTCAAACCCTTGATGATGGCTGGACTTTATATGACTAACACAACAGTCTACTGTTAGGCCTGTAACGAGGGGCACATGTTTTGGCAATGATGAGGTGGAAGGCATTAATTGTGGGCTAATTATTGTTTCTCCTTTCAATTTTCAAAAGGGAATATACTGGTTACATAAAATGATGACACAGGACCCAAAAGATTGAGCCAGGGCATTCAGTAATAAGCTATGGTTCATGGGGAAGCCTTAAATAAGCAAATAGATAAATGTGTTTCTGCCTTTCAAAACTGTTTAACCAGCTGTTAGCCCCGGTTCTGGGAACATTAAGGAGAATCACCGGAGGTGTCTGCTGCAACTTCGTACAACTTTTGCAGGGAATCACCTCCATGTTTGCTTTTAACATTTCTATTCGGCACCTCTCTAAAACATAAATGATGTGTTCGAACAGTCAATTATTGTTTTACCTGCCCAACTGGTAATTTCAAAGTTTAAGTGTTAACTTCAGACTTAAACTAGGTCTAATGCAATCATGCAATCAATAAAGAAAAGAGCAAGCTTCTAAATCTTCGTTACCTCTTACGTTAATCTAGCCTCTACTTAATGATGATCATGCCTTAAACAAACTGCGTTTTTAAGGCCCATTTTCTGAATGATTGATTTAAGGACTATCACGGTGTACATCTGTTGATCACATGTAGGCAATAAGGCCTCCAGGCCTGCTGCTTACGAAACAATGAGGCATTTCTCCTCATTATACAAACGGTCTGTGAATGCTTTAACCTTAATTCAAGGATCACTTCTCCATGCAGAAAAAGCGATATACCTTTAACCTTGTAAATTCATGAACACACACACACACATATCTGGACTTGGCTCACAGGAGAGTTTGCAGACTGTCAGATCTGCTTTTTGGCTTTCTGGGATGGGGGCTGAGCAGATGCTGTGACAGGAAGTTACTAACATGGTCCAGATGTGAAGACAAAAGTCCACCTCCCACACAGCTGGAAAAACGCTGATGACTACAGGCAGTCACAGCAGATGTGCACGTGATACAGGACTCAAAGGTGCAAGAACGGTTCTCACTTATCCAAATGCTTTATTTCCCCCTTAATTGTAGTTTTTACAGAAGACTGAGATGTTGAACCCTTCTCACTCTCTGCATCCCTATCTGCCTCCTCTCTGACTCCCGGCTTTCAGCAAAAGTTGAATTCAAAACATAAACTATAACACACAATGCCAAATAAAACCTTAGAAAAGAGCTGTTTTAAATCAGAGTCCACGTTGCTTTTATGCAATAAAAGGTGTTGACACATATGCCCTCTAGTGTTAAAAGTTTGTGGTGCATCAACAAAAACAAGCAGCCACCTCTGTGTTCTGGGAGCTTTACAGTTTTATTGATCGGCATGTATGGGATGTACTGCGAAATCAAGGTGAAGTCAAACAAACACACATGTGGTTTTACAAACAGACCAAGGCCTAAATAATAAAAAAGGGGAAAATTGCTGAGTTTGTAAAGTGACTTTCTTTGATGGAAAATCCTTACTGGGAAAATTATGTTGGAAAGGCTCAAAATAAGAACGAAAGCAAACAGGCTCAAAAAGAGTGAGAGGTGGCAGATCATCATATCCGACCAAAACACAGCAGTGGCTAATCGAGTAAAGAAATAACCACATTTGGCTTGGTTTGCTTGCGGGGATCTGTGAGTGATGACTGAGTTGTCTGACATTCCATTAAAACTTTCTGCTGTCTCCTCTGTGCACCTCTAGAGGACAGTGAACCCTTTAGAGTAACACGAGGGACTCCCTCGTCTCCAGTCCATTAAGCACCATCTCTAATCCTCTTCTTCCTCTTCATCAATTAAGACCATCTTCCGCCTCCGTTTAACAGGGGCAGAAATCTCCTCCCTGTCTGAATCCGCATCACCATTTGTATTCATGTCCTCAACAGGGCTGGAGTCATCATCTGTAAAAACACCAATATATTAGTCAGACGCTCCTTTCCAACATAAAATCACATATACTGACCCGTTATTGCTCTTTGCTAAAATTTATATCCTGGTAAAAGATGAGCTGTGATATGATTAAGGTTATTCCTGTCAGTCCAACATGAGTGTAGTGGCTTTTAGCTACCTTTTTCGTGCTCCTCATAGTCATCCAGAAACCTGCTTCTTTTTTTTGAGGTGCTCTCCTGGGAGCTGTGTTGGACAGACAGATGTGATGAATCAGCAACAGACAAAAGAGTTTCTGTTGATGTTTCCCTGATAAATACGAGGAGAAGCCTCACCTCTCAGCTGCACTGCCGGAATCATCAGCTGAAGTCAGATCTGAAACAGGAGCTTGAACAACAGCATAAAGAAACATGTGAACAAGGTTTCCCAATTTATTGACTTATTGCTATTAGGGGAGGCCAAACTTTATAAAAAGGGTTTAAAATACCATAAATAATTCAATATATCCTTATTTACATGCCTGCTTAAAGAGAGTTGCAGCACCTATTGAGCATTTAAAAAAAGAATAAGCACAACTAAATAGCTTTTTTTTTTTTAAAGCTGTTAAAGCAAATACAACCTCTTAAAGGTGATTCATGCTTCCGAAAGAGCAGGTGGAAGGTTTTACTCTTTTTGCTATTGGTCTCAGCAGAGTTCCAGAGCCTTTTACTTTACCACGACTTCAGGGAGACCGCCGCAAGTCTTGTCTGTATTTTTGTTTGTTTGTTTCTTTTTTCCTGTTTTTCTATTTGCAGCCATCCATTAAAGACTGTTATTAATCCCCCATCTTTGCTTCACAGTTTCAAAAAAGTCCTTTTTGTCACAATCCAACATCCCCAGAAGACCACTAAACTTCCACACGAGTATGTCCTTTTTTTTTTTTTTTTTTAGTTTAAAACCTTCCACATTTAAGACTTATAGCTGTGTTGCTGCTATTTAAGTTTGCCCCTCCCGCCTTCCAAGGGAACCACAGGATAATCTATTCTTTCTCTCATGCTCCAGTTTATGTTTGAATTTTCGTTTTCAATTTTAGAATAGAGCAGGCCTCTATGACAGCAGTAGGTTTTATGAGCACCATGTAATTTATTGCTTAGCTCAGAAAAAACAAGCTGCAATTAAATACTGTTGTAGGCGGCACTGAAATCTGAACTCCCACACATACCTGTGTTCGTGACGGTGTGGTGTTTCCTCTTGCGTGCCAGCAGTAGAGCTCTCAGAGCCTGAGTCCTCTGTTCACCTGAGCCCTCCTCCTCCTCCTCCTGCCTCTGCTCTTCTGTCTGGTTCTTGGCACCATCTTGCTCCTCACCCTTTTCAGGTTGATCCTTTGTTGGTGTCAAAGCCGCAGCTGCACTCCAGAGCTGAGACTTGCCCATCTTCGCTGGGATCCTCCAGAAGGTCTCCTTATTAACAAACAGAGGAAATAAATCAGCATAATTTCCCATTCTTCAATATTCACGACTGAAAAAGTTTTATGACACGTACTTGTTCATCTGCAGGTGGTCGAAGTCCCAATTTGCGCAGCAGCCTCTGAAAGCTCTTGTTTTCCATTGCATCCTCATTTTCCTCAGCCAGGGGGACAAGTGGAACAGGCTGGGACACAACTGGGACATGAATCAGAGTTCTATGATCAGTAGCTACTAGGATTCTCTTCTCATGCACACAAAATCTCTAAGACAAGTCTTCCAAGGAACAGAAGCTCACAGACTAAATAACACACATTTGATACGGCCTTACCGTCTTCACTACGATCATTTGCAGTTCTGTTTAGAGAATTCTGCAGCCACAACAGAGGTCCAGACATGCCTTAACACAAAACAAAGATTCAATACAGCTAAAAAGGGCATAAGATCAATTTGGAATTTGATTGGAACAAATTACACAAATGAAACAGACACTTTGGCAAATTCAATCCAATCGATTTACTGTATTTAGAAATGAGTTTGTATCTGGACCGATTTTGGCCTTTGGCTCACCTTGCTGTTGCAGAGCATAGACCAAAGAGCCTATATCAGCTCTTCTCTCTGCTGTCAGGGAAACGCTTTTGCCATTTCTTCCTCTGTTTTGTGATCTTTCACTCTCCTGAACCTCATCTCCCTCACTCTCTTCAGATTCCTCTTCTTTCTCGTCTTCATCATCATCATCATCATCTATGTCCGCAGAATCGTCCCTTAGATCTTGGGTCAGTTCAGAAAGAAACTCGTCTTCAGTCTGCAATAGAAAACACATCAACTACTGAAATACAATATTTTTATTCTAATCTGTTTAAGAGTTTGACCACAATTTTATTTCAGATCTCTCTAGATATTGGAAGGAAAGCATCTTCCTCTCTAATGTATATCTGGAGTGATTACCATTCCACGACCAGAGCTCTTCCCATGGGCACTGCGGCTTCTCTTCTTATAAAGTTCTCGTCTCTCGGACACCAGGCCCATACTGAGCAGCTTGTCCACCACACGTGCACGGGAACGCTTGGCTGTAACTTTCTTCATGATGTTACCCAGCACATCTGTTAACCATCAGTCACATTATAAATAAGTATTTATGAACATTGTGCAGAAACTGCCACTGACAGACAGGCAGTGACAGGCTACATTTGTCACATATTTCACACCAAGATAATCTGGTTCACCCTACCGTCAGAATCTTTGTATTCTTCAAACAGGATCTGTAGTTCTTCCTCTTGCTCCTCAGTCCAGAGAACAATTCTGGTGCCTTTCCTTTAAATGGGAAATATAACTGCTTTATTAACAGCTTTCATAATAATTACAAAAAAATGTGTGTGCAGCAAATGTACCACAGTTGTACAACTTTATGCATTCTGTAAATGGCACAGTGCTGAATCTACAGTGAAATATTTCAAGGCAGCAGATGGAAGCCACGTTTGAATTTTGGGTGACCTCGAAGGCTTCAGGCAAAACTGCACGAGAAACCTCCTGCTCCATCATCACTGCAGTCACATGGGTCCAGGAATACGTTAGAAATCCATTTTTGTTCAACAGTCAGCTGCTGAACCAAGAAATATAACCTCAAATGGTATTAAGTAACAAGGAAGCCATGTATCAACTGTGCTTGTCTCAAATGAACAGAATGTGGGTTCTGTGGCTCCTGATAGGTAAATGGTTACTTCAGCAGAACAGAAGCTGTGTGTGTGTGCGCGATTGTGTACAAGACAAGTCAGACAACCGTCATCATCCATCTTTCTTAGAAAAAGTACAACACATCACAAAGAGGAAAATCTCACAACCTTTGACTGCAGAATCAAAACTTTCAAAAGGGAACTTAAAAAAAAAAAGGATTAAAGTTACTTCCGTTGAGGTCAAAATGTGTAGATAACTGTATAATGCGACCCAAACTTACACTTGTCTTTATCCCACTGATCATTCAACTTTCAAATAGTTTCAGTAACTAAATATAATAAAGTTAATCAGTGAGGAATAATTTCTTTGGATGTCTGTACAAAAAAAAAAATTCTGCCTAAATTTTACATATGTTCGCAGTATTTCTGGAAATGGGGACTGTATAGTGCTTTACGTGTCATGCATAATATGAGTACATACGTCTGCTTCTTCAGTACTTTTGCATTGTCCACCAGACCCATGTGGACCAGCTGTGTGACTACTTGTCGCCGAGTGCGGTTGCTGTTGCTTAGTAACGGCAGAAGAGTCTCCACTATGTCTGGTACTGAGAACACAAAAAAAAATCTACAGTTAACGACACACCATCAACCTCTCGGTTCACAGCATGCAGCTGGGTGCTTCAGCAGTTAAAAAATATGGGCAAACAACCAACAAGTGCAAAGTGAACCTTCTGAGTCGCAATGCTCCATGTAGAGTTTCCGCAGCTCCTCTTCCTCCTCCTCTGTCCAAGTTGGTTTCTTTCCCTCTCTGACATATTAAAGACAAAACAAAAATTTATTTCTGACCAGAGAGAAAAGTCAGCTTAATTAAGCACACGTTGGCACACAAATGAGCACCCACCCATCTTTGGTGTACCCTTCTGTCATCTCGCGCACGGCCCCCACATTTTTCCAGAAAAGCAGCTCAACGTATGCCTTGTTGTTCTGTGCTGCCACTGAAAAGAAACGGTTCACCACATACTTGGCAAAAGTCACTAGTTCCTGTGAAAGGGAGAATAAAAAATATGTGTCAGTAGAACCTACAGCAGGCTTTAATGTCGGCAACAAGCTCTTCCCTTTTGTCATAAGTGTACCTTGTAGGCGGCTGATGCAGGATCGCTCAGGATTTTGTTGAAAAGGTGGAAGACTGAAAGCTGGAAAAGCAAGGCGTCCATTTTCAGGTCAACAGCTATGCGGTGTAACATTCGAGTGATGCAGTGGTTGGTGTGGGGTGTGTTCTTTGAATAGGATTTCAACAGGAAAAGGTATGGACGCACGATGCTGGGGCTGGCAAACCTGTCGAGTCCGAAGAAAGAGGAGGCAAAAAGCTTCAAAACTCGCCTGTTCCCCAACTTAAATCACACATTCTTGCAAAGAAAAGATCCGTCGTTAAATTACTATGGCTACTTTTCTCACTTCTTAATGAAGTCAAGAAAGTTGAATTCCGACTCAGAAACATGCACGGTCTCCATCTCTTCTTCCTCCAACTCTGCTGCATCATCATCATCCTCTTCCACCAAAGTCTCAGGAGATGGCCCTAATGTTGAAAGTCATATTTAAAACCTTGCAAAGGTGCAGTAAAAATAAGATACATTTAGCAACCTACTTGGGAGGTTGGCATGAAGGATCTGCTTTAGGAGTTCCAGCTCCTCCTCAGGTTCTACATCAGCTGAACCGAACACATCCCCCTCTGGCCACACCTCCCTGAGCATGACAACAGGAAAAATCTTCTCCATTTAGACAACTGGACACGACTTATATGTTTCAGAATTAGCTAGATATTAGTTTTTAAATATAGAAAATTAGGATCCTAAAATGTTCAAATGATTACATTTTCTCAAACCACTCAAAGATTTGTTTACAATTCATACCCATGTGTGTATTTTGTGCCAATCCTATGCCTGCTAAATTATGATTTGAAAACTGTTCACTTTTCGTCTAAAAGTAACACTTAAAATAACTGACCTGGCAGCACGCAGCAGCCCAAGAGCTTCGGGACCCATTCGAGAGAGCAGAGCGTCCTGCACTCGCACCATCGCCTCCACACGCTGCTCCTCCAGTGGAGTCTCAGATGTGGCGTCAAAAGGCACGATGCTTTCGGTTATAGACGCTGACAACTGCAGATAAAAAGGACAAAAAAACACCACTCAATGTTTCCAAATACCTTCTTTTGACTCAGAACTCACTTAATTATCACATCAGGTCAAAAATTCAGACTGATTTGCTCTCAAGAAGCACAATCTGCCCTCTTCCAAAGTTTGTGCCCCGACTCCCCCCTGAGGCCGGTTGTCACACTTGCCTGAAATCCGGCCTTCCTGAGCTCCTCCTCCACAATCTTCCAGCTCTCCTCCAGGGCCTCTGGACTAGTTTCTGCAACTGGCTGCTTTTTTTTGCTGCGAGACTTCCTCCGCTTCACCCTCTTCCTCTGCCGAGTGAAGAGCAAGATTTCAGCAATTCATAGAGGGTCTAAATAGAAAGGCGCGCCTTCATAGAAAAACAGCAGAACTCACCTGCACAATTAAGTTTTTGCGGCCTTTGGAGAAGCGTTCCAACATGCGCAAGAAGAGATGCGTTGACTCCACCAGGTCTTTCAGGTAGGAATGAGGTTGCTTGGTTTCATCATATTTTCTCAACAAAGTCAGGAAAATCTCTCTATACTCCATCATGTAGAATATGTTACCTGAAGCAGATGGTGAATGTAAATCGATAAAGGTGAACTCTTTTTCCACATTTACAGAAATATCCACTTCTTCAACAGGAGAAAACCAAAAAGATGTCCTTTTAAAACCTTTAAGACTATACAAGTAACCTTAGTCAAAGTAAAGACGTAATTACTTTTAATAACACTGGAGCTCTGACGGATGTCTTCATCTTGTGAGTGGTCCATTTCATTCACAGTGAGCAGCAGTTCTTGATATGCCTTTAAAGCCAAGTGCATTCTTAAGCGGAAAAAAATGAAGTGAATTTGACAGTTTAAAAAACAAAAACAAAAAAAATTAGCAAACTGCTTTCACTGACAACCTTACCTTCGGGACCAGGACGTGGCCTCTTTGCGGTCTGTCAGCAGCATCTCATAGTAGTTGGTGATGTTGCGTTCGATAAAATGAAACGTTCGGATAGACATGGTCTCTGAAACTAAGTCGGCACGGAAACCATTGCCACGGTTGAAAGCCATGAAAAAGCTGAGTGCCCAGAGATAATAGGTCTCATCGTGTTGCTGAGTCTGCTCTCGTATCAGACTTTCCTGTAGTGTGTAAACAGAAAAAACACCAGCATGTAAAGACAAATTTAATTCTGCCTGACGGTATACAGTCATACGCTTATTCAATTCAATTTCACATTCAGAAATGATATTACATTTTAGGTTTTCATGCAGCCAGAAACCAAAAGCAATTTCCTGATCATTTTTCTGAAGATTTGAATGAATCAGCTTCCTCTTGCTCATTGAATGATTCAATGACGGAGAGGCCAGTCTGTGATGCATCTGACATTTTCTGTTTGTGTCATGCTCGCTGCATTGGGCTTCTGATTGAGTCTATGATGCAAAGAAAATAAATGAAAGTGATTCATGCTCTTTTCGCTGACCTTAACTAGATACATGAGTCGGTTGTAGCAATTCTCCAAGAAGTCCACACAAAATTCTCGTAGGAAGAGTCGAACGTTTAAAGCCGAGCGTCGCTTGCCCTCACATTCCTGGATCTTTCGATTTCTCTTGGGAACACGTCTGACTGATTTGCCGAGGTCATGAGTGTAATTTTTGAACTATAAAGACAAAAAGCAAAGACCATTCAAAGAAATATAATGTCAACACTACCCACACTTGGACATTTCGGAATTAGAGCAGCTTTGGGAGGTGCACAACTCACGTTGTGAAGATTTCTGTGATAGACCACATCTTTATCTCCAAGCGCCTTGAGGCCTTGAATTACATAAGACCCACCAAATCGAGAATGTCTGAAAGACACATCACCATCAGAACTATGTATTAACTCCGCCATATTCATAGAGTACAGTGTATAGTGTAATTGTATGGTGAAACCAAAGGCGCTTTCGTCAACCTTATCAACCAAGACCATCTTCTTATCTGTACCTGTTTCCTCTTTGTAAAATCCGTGAGCGTTTCTCTGCATGCTCCTTCTGCCGAAGTGCTTCCAGCTCCTGGGAGTCCCTCTGCTTCTCCTGTGCTGAGCGAGCATGGCCAGCGCTCACCAACCCTTCTGGTGTCTGCAAATCAAAATAAATGCAGCTCAAGCACAGAAAACACAGAAATCTGCATGTGGCAAGCCAACTTGTTCTTTGGTCTGACCTGGTCTCTGAACATGAGGGAGATTATTTCCAACACGTGCATACTCCACTGTTGCTCACTCTGGGCTGATGCGAGGAACTTGACCAGATCATCGAAACCACTCATGTGAATGGCCCACAGCACTCTGTCATGAAAACTGGCATCGTCATCCACCTTCTAAAGGGCACAGAGGAGCAAAGATTGGGAGAGGAGGCATTCAGTATGACAGACAGGTAAAGGAAGGGTCCAATGAATAGATAGGGGAAATTTGGGGATCTATGTGAATCGAACCATCTCTTCACAGGGGTCTGCAGGCACATGAAGCACGTTTCTGACCAGCAGCAAAATCCTCTCTATCAGAAGATTATCCTCCTCTTGTCTCTCCTCCCAGTCCTGGACGAAAGCAGCCACAGTGAGAAAACCAGAGCAACACTCAATACAAGAATCATTTTACTATGATGTAGTGAGAAGAAGACACTATTCTGAGTGACAAACTCACAAGCTGTAGAAGATTGTATAAGGTCTCACTTAAAATGCCAAACACTCTCTCGCTGGCGAATGCCTAAAAATAAACAGGATTGCATTACAAAATGGTGAAATGGAAGAACCTACCTAATCAATAAATATCCGCTACAGAAATCCAATCAAAATACCTCTTTGTAGGCTTGTAGATGAGAATTGACTTGCATAAAGTGATGCCTAAACACTGGGTCATCTGGTACTTTACCAAAACACAGCATCGCAGGCTGAGTAAGATTAACCATGAGCCTGAAAAAAACAAAACACGGATGACTTATTGCAAATTACTCCCATAAAAGCATCTATTTTGAAGAGGACAAAAAAAAATCACCAAACCAGTGTTTTGTCTCAGTAAAACATAAAACAATAAAATATTGACAACACTGTGGCAACATTAAAGCAATACAGCACAGGTTTCATAAAACTTAATGTCTTTAAAAACATTCATGTGAGCATGTTTTGGGTTCTTACCTGACACAGGCATCAAACAAGGCCTTGTCTTGTCTGTATTGAACAATTATAGGCAGAAGGTCATTCTGGATAATCTGGCTATCCCCCAGTTGCTGGCGGACATCACGGGTGTCGTCTTCATGACGTAAATACCGGATCAAGTCTTTCACACTCTCTGAGAAAAAAAAATAGACGACTGCTGAAGTACAGCTTGATATTTGAAAAACTGCTTGACCCTTGAAAAACTACCACATAGTTCAAAGTCACTTACCCAAGCAATCAGCCTCCTTGTGATAGGTGTCTCCCTCCAGATAACCAAGAGCACTGCACGTTGCCAAAATTTCACAGTTCATCTTGCACAGGTTTACACAGAACCTGCCAACCTGAGAGCAAGGAGGTTAGACCACAGAAATCAATAGGCGGACCTTTAAATAACAAGAGTATCCTATTAGTGTGTGATTCCTATAAATCCAATTTAATCCAAGCACTATTTTCTAATGGAAAAGATGCACTGGAAACTAAAGTAGGGCCTTGCCTTGTTTCTTCTTTACTGGAGGCTAGACACAGTATCACACGTCTAATAGCTGTTTAAAGATCAAATTTCTTGCTAGAGATTAAATAAAGCTTAGCTAAAACAAGTAACATATAATGATGTTTGTCAAGATATAGAACAGAATGGCAAACTCCATATCTACGCTTATTTTACTACATAAGTTATATGTATATGGTATTTCTGTTACTTTAGTTGAACCGAATAGACCAATGTACATAGTTATATGTGTCCATTATTGATGACATACAGTATGTAGAGGATTACTCTCCGGACACACCGCTAATGCAGCGCAGAGCTGTTAGCATTGAATGACTACTAAACTATTTCAGGACATAAACACTAAACCGACATGGTGATTCAGATAAAGTTGCGCTACGAATGACGCCGCCAACAGCAGGTTGTAATGAAACTTTTTAATGTCAAAGAGAGAAAAAGCACAAGCAGCTCCTACCGTCTCCCAGTTCAAGCAACTCTTCTTCTTCTTCTTTGTGATTTTTTATTGGCGGGTGACATCTATCGTTAAGATGTATTATCGCCATCTACTGTGCTGGAGTGTGGACCAGAGCATCTCCCCCAATCTAAATTCTTCCATATAGTCCTGTTACCTTCAAAAATGCAATAACTGCTTTATTTATTTTATGTTTAATTAAAATCTTATCAAGCTTTAATGTTTGTATATCGTATTTCCTAATTTCTTGTAACTTCTCTCTACTTACTGTATATTTTTCACAATGAATAATTACATGTTCTACTGTTTCTATATCCATACCACACTCACAACTACCTGTTGGATGTTTACCTATCAAATGTAGTGTTTTATTTAATCCAGTATGTCCAAGGCGCAATCTTGTCATTACTACTTGCTCTCTTCGATTTTCTCCTATTATTTCCATATTTCCTACTTTCTTTTGTATATGAAATAAATGACGACCTTTAATACCTTCTTCCCACAATTGTTGCCATTCAGATTTAATTTTGGTCTTAATAATTGATTTTATTTCAGATTTACAATACGTTATTTCCATAATTCTACTTTGTTTCAAAGACACCTTAGCTAATTGATCTGCCATTTCATTCCCTTCTATATTTCTATGGGCTGGAATCCACATAAACCTAATCTCTACTTGAGTTTGTGTCATTCTAAATATACCTTCATAAATTTCGTATACTAGCTCCATACGACTTTCAGATGAAATATTTACAATAGACATTAGTGCTGATAATGAATCTGAACATATAAGAACTTTTCTTATTTTATTTTGCTCTACCCACTGTAAGGCCATCAGTATCGCTAACATTTCCACTGTATAAACAGCTAAATGGTCAGATGTTCTTTGATTCATGAATATATCTAGTTCAGGAATAGCATAAGCAAATCCTGTTTTATTTGAAACTAAATCTTTTGAACCATCTGTATATATGATTATGAAGGATTTATACGTATTCTTAATTCTGTCATTTACTAAATGTACCCAGTTATTATCTTTATTAACCTGCATTTTGTTATAAACTTCTAAATCAACATTCACATATGGAAACAGCCAAAAAGGAGTAGTTGGATAAGGCACCGCAGCACAATATCCCTTTCCCTGCATCCCCATTTCTCTAGCGGCTTTATCTGCTGCCCATGCAAAACAATCTATTTTTGCTTTTCCACTCTCCCAGCAAGGTCTCAAGATTCTTACTGCTGGATTATTTTCCTCCTTATGGCCCTGCAGACTCACCCAATAATTTAGCATAATTTGCTTACGTCTTAAATATAAAGGAATCTCTCCCATTTCAACCTGCACTGCCAAAGATGGAGATGTCTTCAAAGCTCCACAGCATAATCTCAATGCTTGATTTTGAATTACTTCTAATTTACTAATAACTGATTTTGCAGCCTGCCTGTAGACTACACATCCATAATCCAACACTGATCTAATCAAAGCAACATATATTTTTTTTAAATTAATTTTATCTGCGCCCCAATCTAACCCTGTTAAACACCTCATTATATTTATAACTTTTTTACATTTCCCTTCAATGTACTTTACATGATCACCCCATAAAAGCTTGGAATCAAACATGATTCCTAAAAAACGAAATTTATTTACTTTTTCTATTTTCCCTCCATACATTTTTAAATCAATTTCTTCAATTTTCTTCCTACTGAATACAACAGTCTTTGTTTTACTTACTGAGAATTTAACTCCCCCAGTTATAACCCCAATTTTCAACAGTTTTAATAGCACTCTGTATTTTCTCATACACTATTCTTACATTTTTCCCTTTTCTCCACAAAGCTCCGTCATCAGCAAATAATGATTGCATGACATCCTGATTTACTTCTGTAAAAACATCATTAATCATGATTGAAAACAATAAAGGACTGATAATACTTCCCTGTGGAGTTCCATTATCAATTTTAAATTTATTAGATCTTGTTACTCACATCTGTACCTGTATAACTCTATTCAACAAAAAATCCTTAATCCAATTATAAACCCTTCCTGTAATCCCCATTTTATATAATTTTATAAGCAGCCCATCCTTCCATACCATGTCATATGCTTTCTCAATATCAAAAAATACTGCTACTACTACTTCCCTATTAATTTGAGCTTTTCTAATATCTGACTCCAAACACACAACTGCATCCATTGTACTTCTTCCTCTTCTGAATCCACTTTGACATGAAGACAAAAGTCCTTTACTTTCGACGTAATACGTAATCCTTTCCGTTATCATTCTTTCCATAATCTTTCCTAAACATGAGGTAAGTGCAATTGGTCTATAACTAGAAGGATTTGTTGGATCCTTTCCTGGTTTAATCATTGGCACAATAATTGCTTCCTTCCACTTAGAAGGTAATCTTCCTTCTTTCCAGATCTTATTATATAACTCTAAAAGTTTTCCTTCAGCTTGACTTCCTAAGTGTTTTAACATAATATAGCATATCTGATCTTTTCCTGGTGCTGTTAATCCTGTTCTAGATATTGCTCTCTTCATTTCTTGCATAGAAAAAGAAACATCCATGACATTACCTGGAGTTGTTCCACCCTCTAAAATAAACTCATTTGCCCTTCTTGTCTGCTCTCTCCTAAATTTCCCCTCTTCTGTTAAATTATCTGAACTATGGATCTTTGCAAATGTTCTTGCCATTACTTCAACTTTCTCTTCATTTGTTACTGCTGTTTCTTCTTCATGTTTCAGAATTGGGTATGTTCTCTCCTGTATATTTCCCCTCATTTTCTTAATCATTCCCCAAACATTAGCTATAGGAGTTGTTCTGCCTATTGAATCACAAAATTCTCTCCATTTTGTCTTCTTTGCTTTCTTAATAACTTTCTTTGCTTCTGCTTGATCTTTTTTATATTCAATTAAATTTTTGAAATTATGTGTTCTTTTCAATATTCTAAAAGCTCGATTTCTTTTCCTTATTGCTTCACTGCACTCTTGTGTCCACCAAGGGACCTCTTTCTTTCTGCTCTTACCTTTACTTACAGGGATTGTTATTTTTGCTGCTTTCAATATAGCTTCCCTAATCTTTCCCTCTATACTTTCTATATCTGAACTTAAATTTACTTCATCCATGAATTTCTCACATATATATTTAAATACATTCCATTTTGCCTTTTTAAATATCCATCTTTCTTGTCTTCCTATCATCCTTTTCTCTTTAGAAATAAGGATTTTACAAAAAATTGGAAAATGATCACTACCCATTGTTGTTTCTTCCTCTATTTCCCACTCACATAATCCAGCTAAATCTCTTGACACCAGAGTTAAATCTATAGATGAACACTTTCCTGTAAGCACATCTATTCTTGTTCCCCTCCCATCATTCATACAAACTAATTGATTATCTTCCAACAGCTGTTCTACAATCTCTCCATTTATATCCGTTCCCTGCCCTCCCCATAAATTGCTATGGGCATTAAAATCTGCACACCAAATAACTTTATTTCTATTTTGTCCCTGAATTTCTTTTAATTTATCTAACTCTAATCTTTTACATGGATTGTAATAATTTATTATAATAAATGGTTCTGTATTTATCCAAATCTCTACAATTACAAACTCATCTTCTTTCCCTTTTTTAACCACCCTATACGACATCCCCTCCCTAATGAAAATGGCACATCCCCCACCATTACCTTCAATCCGATCAAATCTAATGACCGAATAATTTAAGATTTTAAATTCTAATTGGGGTTTTAACCATGTTTCTTGAATACAAATAACCTCTGGAGCCTCTTCTAATTTATTAATAATATGCTTTAATTCCTGTCCATTTGCAATTAAACTTCTTGCATTCCATTGCAGAATCAAGACCATAGTGTTGCTATCCTATCCATGCTGCCTCCTGACTGGCCTGAGCACTAAGATCATCCCTCACTTCCTCCCATGTTAATTCATTAATATTAAGATGATTTGCTGCTGCTTTCACAATTACTTGTATTCTTTCGGTTTTTGATTTAATTTCCATAGTTGCATTTATTACCCCTGCAATAAATGTCACTAGCTTTTTTAAATCCACATACACTTTACTTTCTTTTGTTTGATTTACCTCTGTATACATCCTGTTTTCCACCCCAACCTCTGTTCTTTGCTTTACCACTTTAACAGCCTCTGCATAGGATAGCTTGTTGCGTACTCTAATTTGTTGAACCTGTACTTCCCTCTTCATCACCTCACATCCCCCATATGCCACACTGTGGCTCCCACCACAATTACAACATTTTGGCTGCTTGCTCTTATTGCACTGTTCATATTCATGATCCTCCCCACATCGTGCACATCTTCTTTTTCCTTTACACGTATGTGCTGTATGGCCAAATTTTTGACATTTAAAGCATCTAATTGGTCGTGGAATATACTCTCTTACATTGTAGGTCAAATATCCTAAATAGACTCTCTCTGGAAGTCTTTCTTCATCAAATTCTATCAGAATACTTTCACTATTCATTTTCTCTCCATTTTTAAAGGTCTGAAGCCTTCTTACATCTTTGACTCTTCCTCCTCTGAGATTTGATTTTATTTCGTCATTTGAAACGTCAATCGGTATCCCCCAAATCACTCCCTTCCTCCATTTACTTCCTTCTTGTATCAGACTCACGCTTGTCACTTTGTATTTTCCTACTTCTTTCATCCTACATGCTCTGTCTTTTTGTTCTTCCGTATTACAAATTATCATTAAGTTTCCATCTCTTAGTACTTTTGCATTTGTAACGTCCCCCACTTGATTCTTCAGAATCGTGGTTAGTTTGACTGGACTGATCGTTTGCAATCCCTTTTCCTCGTTAACTCTAACAATTACTTTAAACTCCCTTATTTCTCCCTCCATTTCTTCTTCAGACTCATCCCAGTTTTTCACCACTCTTCCCCTCTTTCCCATACCTGCCTTCACTGAAGAATTTCCTCTTTTTGGACTCATCCTTTCACTACTCGATGTTTCACTGCCCCTGTCACTCTCGTTATCTATACTATTTCCCCACTCTGATCCATTCACAACACAGCTGTGTCTACCCGCCGTAGTCTTTGTCCAAAGATCTTTTACCAATCCACGGCTTTTACCAACTGCGTCTTGAACATTTCCTCGACGCCGATTTCCTTTAGTCCGAGATAGTCTTATTTCTTTCTCCTCATCCTCCTCTCTTTCAGTTCTTAATTGTAATTTTTTAACCATCCAAAACCACCCTCAAAACAGCACAACAGCCAGCTCAGTTTAAACAGCAAACTTTCGCCAGCCAGAGCGAGGTCTTCAAGCAACTCGGGCAAGTCTCGCGCCAATACAGCGAGCCAAAACACAGGAACCGGAAGCAGAATTTCATCAGCAGGGGAAAATGTGCCCTGAGTTTGGTTTTTAAGGCTTCAGTCAAAATTTGAGAAGAGTGATCATTCTAATCCTCAAACTCTGCAGGCTTGGATGTGTCGTACATTCACCCTTTACTTGGACTAACGGTGATGTACTCTGCTCTCTTGTTGAAACAAAGAGTTGTTAACAAAGCTATATTTGACAACATAGTCACCGTTTAGTAAATGAACCATTTTTGCAAGATGATTTCCAGACAAATATAAAGAATCAAACATTATGTTGTTAGTGGAATGTAGTGGTACTTTGGGGCAAAGGGACATACTGTACTCCTTATGTACAGATCAATATCAGATAGAGAAAAATACTTTTGGTGTTTTGCTACCAAACCTGAATCAATTTGCATTTTGACTGTTTTAGGAATTTCTTTAGATACCAATTGTAGTTCTTTACACATTTTAGACGCAGGTTTTACGAGAGATATATTTAGGGAGTGTTTGTATTTCCTTTTACACAATTAATTAGCTAAGCAGTGTAACAAAAGAGGTTACTATTTTTGTCATGAAGGCCACAGAAGAACATTTTTCTGTCTAAAGGAAACAAAGAGTAAAATACTGAGTAATGATTTGTATAAACCTGTATGTCTGTATGTTTCATTGATTTGACCTCTACTTACATTTACCTTCATAATTTTAAAAAAATGACATCAAGTTCTGTAGTCTTTCCCTCCACAAAACAAGAGGCAGAGTTAGATGATAATTAATCAAAACCCTAACCACTTACATAAAAATATTGTGTTTCATGAAGACAGACAACACATATTTGATCCAGTGAAGTTTATTTGCACATACATATTCTTTCACACATCATTGTGAAGCACATTCTGCAAAGGTGTTTTCAGTTTGTCATTTCTAGTGTCAGTCATTGCCTGTGTGTTACATGTTCATTAGTTCTCACACAACTTTGGTGAAAAGGTTATTTGCACAGCAAGAGGATAGCGGAGCTTCTAAAACAAAAGCAGACAGATTCAATTAGTCTCAGTCTGTCTTTTAAGGTGTGTCGGCAAAAGGGCAGTGTCAGAAAGTTTGCTAGTGAGTCATTATTATGACACAAGCTACTGAGATCCTGTATTTAAACTACTTCTTCTTCAGCTTGTAGTTACATTATTTATCATAGATGCATGGTTGTCTAAGGATTGCACTGTAAATCAAGGCCTCAAGTGGTCCATTAATTAAAGTGGATTTGCACAGCCCTACAGATGACACAGGTGTTTAGCAAAAGTGGGGGTATTCTTACATAGCACCAAAGTGACACCGTCTAAAGGAATTAATCAAAGCTGCACCAATACTGAGAGACATATTACCAGACAATCAAACACATAACTAATGAGAAGGAGGATTAGATACTGTAGCTCAGCTTTGTTTTTTTCTATTGTTCAGCTTTCTATTTTTTTTCTATCACGGCACTGGCGTTCACATTGTTTGTTCAGTTTGCATCTACTCATCCTTGTCAGTTTTGCCAGAGTCACTCTCCTTCTCCCTTCTGGATTCCTTCACCACCTGATGAGGAAAGCAATACAAAGGTTAGTTTTGAAAGCTGGCATTGGCCTGCTCTCCAAAAGGTATACAGGGATTCTTGTGTCACAGTTGTGTTGTACCTCTCCATCTCGAGTCTCCACTGTCTTGATGACCACAGTCCTTTTGCTTAGGGTGTCTGGAGTTTTTTCGTAATCTGTGAAAAGTCAGATGCTAATGAGATGTTCAAGTTCAGAATCTGATTTGCTTTTCTTTATCTCGCTTCACTCACTCCATCATATCCATCAGTGCTAAACTCAGGAAACAAACTGCCCCCCTTCTTGGTATATCTTTATGACCGTAAGACCCCGACCATAAATCTTAATGGGTTTGTCAAAATAGAGAATATTTTACCTCGATCACCAAGGTGATTACTCATTCCCATATTCATAATGGGAACGGAGATCCTGCAAGAAATAAAAATAATTGAAGTCTTTCAAACCATAAAAAAAGTTATTAAAAGTGATTTCCACTCTTTTAAACATCAATGAATCATTAGGGGAATGCATGTTCTCCCCCACCTGCTTTCCTCCCCCTCCAGCAGTTTGCGGTAAGTCGCAATCTCAATGTCCAGAGCCATTTTGACATTGAGGAGGTCCTGGTACTCCCTAAGATGGCGAGCCATCTCATCCTTCAGGTGGCGTATCTCTTCCTCAAGCCTGCCCACGTTGTCCTGATAGTTGCCAATCTCATTGCCAAACTGATCCTCCATTTCACGCATCTGCCTCAGCAGAGCCTCATTCTGAAGGAATACAGCAGCACTTCATGTTGAAAAAGTTTAAATACTCAAAAATGCATACAGATTAGCAGCATGATGTTTGCTCCCACCGTGTTCTTCAATGCATCAATTTCACAGTTGAGAGACTGAATCTGCCTTCTTGACTCATTGGCCTCCTGCTTGGCCTGTCTCAGAGCATCAGTGTTGCGCTTCGCAGACTCAGTTAAATCTGCAAACTGCAAGAGAAGTAAAGGAAGAAGTATGTAAAAACTAACGACTACATGTTTGAATTCTCATGTGCACCGTTTTGTTCCATCTGCCCACCTTGGACTTGTACCATTCCTCAGATTCTTGCATATTCTTTAAGGCAATGGTCTCATACTGAGCCCTGATGTCCCTTAGAGCACCGGTGAGATCTGGCCTGGAGCTGCTGTCCACCTCCATCTTCAGCTGCTGGGTCTGGACACTCACTTGTACATCCTGGATTTCCTGATAATTCAAAAATATAGAAAATAAGCAGATACCCATAAAAGGGTCAAATTCTTGTTTCTAAATACTTGTCAAAGAATGTCTTTTCATTTGGTCGACGTCCTGATTAAATCTATTTGTTTGTAGTTTGTTCATTTTCCTTTTAAAAAATAAAAAAAATCTGTATGAGTGGTCCTGTAAATGTACCGTAGCACAAAACTCTAGTACAGCTTTAAAATCTTTTTTTGTAAACTTTGTTCGGCTTTTTTATTAACTATGATTGCTTCGCTGCTGTTGCATCACTGATATGGCACTCAATTTTGAGAATCAATTTAGTAATTTCACTTGAATTTCACATCATTTGGAGGCAGAGTAAAGAATGTAGGTCTCTAGATTATACATTTGGATGGGTGACTGGGTGACAGAGATGTTTGTGTACAAGCACAGTGAATCACATACCTCATCATGGAGTTTCTTAAGGAATTCAATCTCATCCATTAGAGATTCAATTTTCCTTTCAAGCTCCAAACGGGCAAGAGTAGCATCATCCACATCCTAGTTGTTTTATGAGACAAAAGAAACAGAAGAAATAAATCAAAGAGGGAGTTTTTTTCACTTTCCTCCATCATCTAGTGTGTGCACAGGATGAGGGGCTGAATCTGGAGAAGTACGAATGACATCCTCTGCTTTTCGGGGTTACTCGACTTTTTTAAAATGTATAAATTTGACTTGTTTGGAATTTGATTAAATTGATTTTTGATTGGGTTAATAGAGTGTGTCTTTAAAATGCCCTGAAAAAAAAAAAAAAAGCCCTGAGATAAAATTCATGACAATGCAATTCAAAAGTTAACGATGGAATGAAGCAGATTATTTATGACTTGTTTACTGAGAATGGAGACACTGTAATATCTTTGGTGCTGATGATCCACTGCTCAGTGTTTACCTTGCGGAAAGCAACCAGGTTGTTCTCAGCTTCTGCCCTCTTTTGGGCCTCCTCATCCAACCTGAGAATTGGAGAAAATATTTCAAGCACCATAGGAATACAACAAAAAAGTCATACAATCCTGTCAGTTTTAATTATTTTCTATTAATTTGTTTGTTTATTTATGTAGACTGGTATCACCCTTCCTGTCAAATTTAGCACCAGGGCATCTGCTGGTAAAAAGTTTCCTGGATCAATTTGTTAATTCATTGTTCCGTTAAAAGGATTTTGGGAGTGTGCTCAGTGGGACTAGCAGTCACCCCTAATGTGGCATCACAGCAGTTCAATAAGGTCATCTGCATGGACAAAGTGTGGCTGGGTGCATGTGCTGGATCATCTGAGGTAACATTTTCAAGGTTGTGAAGAGTAATTTTCTGTACTGTCAAGGGTAAATAAGCAAACTACTTTGAATTGGAAATGTTTAATTAAACTCCTTATCTTCATAATCTTTCAAGTTCAACAGAATGTGATAAGTCAATAAAAACATACCACAAATTAAATTGTGCAGGTTTTCATCCTCTCTGCTCACTGTTTTTAGTGTTATTTTTTTTTTGGCTGATTGATTGGCTGTATACAGTATGTGCAGTTGAATGCAATCCATCTGCTCTATCAGACAGAGGTCTTGTCCAGACTGGACACAAAGTGGATTAGTGGGTCCCACTTCCTCATCTTTAATTCATGCTGTGTTTCTAGGGGTCCTTCTGTCCTAATGGGATCCCTGGCACCATCCCATCAGCAGGGAGGGACATTGAAATACACCTAATGGAGTCATTGAGTCACATTGATTTTTCCTGACACTATTCTCACCCCGCCTGATACCCAACCTCTTTTCCTCTGGTCCTGTGTCCTCTCTCGACCCACCCAGTTTCTCAGCAGGCCCCACCCTGTGTCTGGACCCTTTATCTTCCTCTGTTCTTTGCTCATTATCCAGCATACATGCATCACTGTGCTTGTGTGTACTTGCAGATGTGCAAAAATCTATAAAGTTGTATTATTTGAGTGGCCCTGTCTGGGTTTGGCACCAATATCTAAGTCAAAGCTTTTTGTTGGTTATTTTGATGATGTCTTGAAGTACATTCTGGCACACGGGAGACTAAATATACATTTTTGGGGGGAAAAATAATCAATATGCACTCACATTGCAGTGCAGCGTCCTTTATCATACTGCTGTCTGTTGTGCCACGCCCTAAACTACCAACATAAGGAGCTAAAGTGGCAGTAATCTCAATGCTCCCTCAGTGTTTAAAGGGAGGAAGATTCAATAGATAAGGTGATAAGGCTATATATGTGTCTAACAATCACATCATGGAGAAATATTTTATCTATCTATCTATCTATCTATCTATCTATCTATCTATCTATCTAT